GATATATTTTATAAAAAGTCAGAACTGAAAGCCCCTCCTACCACAGAAACCAAAGGGCATTCTGAATGTCCTTGCAGCATGCGACAGTCTATGCCTACAGCATTTCTTCTTCACAAAGGCAGGACCTGCATCATGAGGATTAGTCTTTTAACTGCCATTCACATATTCATGGACACAGATTATTGTCAGGTTGATGGAGAATCTTATCCTTACACAAATATTGCAGAACTGCACATGTTAAATACTAGAAAATATTTCGTGCATTTTGCCAAACGCCTTATAAACCTTAAAGAAAGAGAGAGAAGAAGCAAAGGGGCAGGAAGAAAACCAGATCTGGCGGTGAACCAAATGCATGTTCTTTTTGCTCACTACAGCCTCCATCCCAGTTTATCCTCCTCCCCCTTTGATTTTGTGATAGGTTGACTGAAAATTGTGCCAAAGTTTCTCCAAGAGACAGCAATCACTTGACTAAGTGGGCAGAAAATAATTCTCAGAATTGAGCAATTTCTCATGACGCTTCTTTTTTCATCAGTCATCAATCCAGCAGTCCCAAAATCCAGAGCTGTTTTATAAACCCCTCAGCAGTCAGAACACATTTTTAACCACGGATTACTAATTGTTTGAGCTACTAAACACAGGAAATTTTAATATTATCAGAAGTTGACAGCACCAGAACAGAAAGCAAAATGTTTCAAATAGAACTAGCAATTACAGAGCACCTGCAAAGAATAGGGATATGCTGGTCTGAGGAAAGTCCAACAAGTCAGAGAATGCAAAAGCGAAAACTGGGCAGCCCCTGAGTAACTGGATGGATGATTTAAATTCAAAGAGCAAGCAAAATCACGCAAGCTCAGCATGTCATAGCAGAGCTTCTCTGCAATTGATTATGTGCAGTAAGAAGTTATTTAAGAAATCTGTTAGTCGTGCTTCCTGATCAATTTGTGGAATTGTGTACTTGGTCTCAAACAATCCAGGAACACAGACAGCATAATACAAATAAACACCTTGCTGCAAACTACCCAATCACTCTGGAGCACAAACACATCCCGGGGCCCTCACGCCAGGCTCTCCACAACCACATCAGCACTTTTACTCATTCCTAAGGAATTCAGTGTACCATAATGGCAACTGGTTACAAGCAAGTGAAAAACTGGTTGAGAAACAGAAGTTGTCATACTGCGAATGTTTTGTCTAGCCAGCAGATGAGTTAATCTTTGCCCATAGTGGGTCAGAGCATCAGGACTTTATTCTCATCAAAAATAATTGCAAATCTCCCAGATTTCCTCAAGAACAGATACCTGCAATGACAGCCCAGAGATGAGCAATGCAGTCCCTCAGACTGTGTGCGCAGACCCATTGCCATGACCACAAAGTTGTCCACAAGGAGAACCAGACCCTTCCCCACTGCCATTGAGCAAGTTGCTGGTCAATCTCACTCTCTTCTCCAAATGCTGGAAACAACCTTATTCTCTGTGAAGGGGTCAGTATTACCTGGGAAATACCAGGTCAGGACAGCAGGAGACAAGGATCAGTCACAAAACCAGTGACCCAGTTAAACTCAGTTGGAGTTCATTGATGTACCGCTCGTTGCAACCACAGCACCACTCGGGCACTATCAGGGAGGCTGTGATCTCCAGAATTTAGCCAGATAACTGCTAACATCTAATGGTTGAGGAAAGGCATCTGTTGGCTGAAGAACCTGCAGAGTTCTGACAGTAAGCTCAAATGAATCTCATCTTCACAACCATTTGATCCACAGAGAATAGTCCTCTAAGTATAGTACTGGTGTAGAGTATAAACTTGTGTTTATAACAGCAGACTTCGTGCTCTTTTTTCTCTTCTTTACTGGTGGAAGAAGAAATGCAGGCACTGGGAAGAAATGCTTGCTTACTCCCACAACTTATGAAGAATATGCCTGCATGGTATGGACTAAATGAGAGTATTAAGAAACTTGTACACCTAAATTCTACCAAAATATGGCAGAAAATATGCAGTCAAAAGGCTCCTTATACTCTCAATAACATTCTTGGCCTTAAAAGACAAGAATCCTAGTTAAGAATCCTTTACAGAATGCCCAAATGAACAAGATGTTCATTTTCTAATAGGTTTATTTACACAACAGTGAATTAAGTGTCCATTGCTATGATCCTGGAGAGCAGTAATGATAATATCAATATTCACACACTCTCAGATATATCTTATCTTGATTACTCTTCAGATTAAATGCTGTGCAGCTGCTAATAAGCCCCCTTTTGAGGAAAAGGGAAAGTAATGGATACTGTACTGACTCTATTCCATGGTAGAATTAAAAGCAAAAACCCAAAAGCAGGTGAATGCTTTAATGCTCACCAAGCATTAAAATGTTAATGATATGAATATGTAGCAGCTTCCCCTGTGCTGTGCTATGAAGTCCAGCTCAGACTGAGTATGCTGATTTTTTTCTTAAGCAATTTCATTCTGGGTTTCTAGGTTGAGTACACACACATGCCATTTTTCTGAATAACAGTAAAGCATGTGTGTTGAGAAGTCACTCCATAGTTATAGTGATGGCAGTGGATCAGAAAACCCCAAACAAACAAAACAAAGGAAGTTGCTAGAGAAAATTCTCAACAAATCTTGAAAAAAACCCCACAGATTACTAGAAATCCATTACTTCTCTGTCATTTTTGCCTTCCATTCTTTCCTCTCACCCCTGTGCTGCTGCTTGCCCCTGAGCTTCCATCTTAATTTCCCTTTGTGCAATCCTGGACTCAGGCTGGCAGCCCTCTTGTACAACTTCTGCCCTTTCTTATGCTAAAGCTTTCATCCAGGAATTAAAGGGATCCAATCCGATTTAATGCAACTTCCTTCTCTCCAGCTTCACTAATCTCTCTCTTTCCTTTTATCTTTATCCAATTCATAACACAATTACATTGTTTTACATTAAGTCCCCAGCCACAGCCTTGTTGCCCAGTGCTCTGCACCATCCCATTCAGGTATCAGGTATACACATGGCCGTTTGTCCTTTGCCATCCCAGGTTCTTCCTGAATGTTTTGGCCCCCTCCAAGACACACAGTTCCTAAACCAACCCACAAGGTCATTAGCTTATGCTTTAAGCTTTAGTTTGAGATCAAATGTTCTAACTGTGATACACATCTGTCCAAAGACAACTAGCAATGGATAGAACAGGGTTTGGAGGCAGTCAAAGCCTATTTAAACACAAAACAACTAAGATATAATAAAACGTTATTGATTGAGAGCACCTCTGTGTCACTGATCTGAGCTGCTGACACAGCAGAGTGCACTCGGGTATCTGTTCACATGCCAGCAGAACCCATACCTTTTCACTTTCTGTGGCTTGTACCAGCCTCCCAAAAGCAGAAGTTAACAGTCTGTAGCTTTGAGATGCACTCTGGCAGAGGTAAGCTGGTTTTTACACAACGCCAGATTTTTAGAGTCAAGATATTAACTACTATGGTGAGTGCTGCAGCTGCACACATACACAATCCCAAAGGCAGCTCCTATGGAGCCGTGTTAGGTGAATGCAGCCGTGCTGCTGCCCGTGCTGCCAAGCTGACTCAGATCTCCGGGCAAGGGATGCACATCCTGTAATTAAGATGTAACTGTGCCCTATGCAAGAGGCACAGAAGAGCAGTCCGGCTCCACTCAGCTTGGCCAGATTCCTCATTGGTGTTTTCTTCCCCCAAATCCCTGCCAGCTGCATCCTTTGGGGGAGGGAAGAGGGGGTGGCGGGTCACAATCACCAGAAGCCACGGAGAGGCAGACAGTATTCTCAGCAGTAAAGGAAAATTTCTTCATCAGGAGGAAAAGTTGTGGTTGTGTGCAGTTACACGCATACAGCTTCAATTTAGTGAGAAGACTGCAGTGAAATGAATGTGTTTAACCCTTTCAATTCTACCAGATCTACTTTCTGCTGGAAGGAGTAGAGCTGACACTGACTACTGACAACAAAACGTGGATGACCTAAAAAAACTGTTAAGAGTAGAAGGTTTGGTGAATGAAGTTTGAGACGCCCTTGAAAACAAAGCCCTTAAATCAACCGTTTGGTTCTGTGAGTATGTGACTCCTAATGGTTGGTCCAAATGCAGCACAGCCACCTCAACCAGCAGTGCCACACGGCACCAAGCAGGTGAATGCCTTCAAAGAGCTCTGACATGCCAGATTTTTTTTTTTAAACAAAGCATGCAGCTTGGAAGTTATAAAAGCATATTTTATTATAATGTAAATACGGCCTTTGTATCTGAAGGATCATTACACAGATTCAGTGACATTCAAAGGCAAATAGATATGCTATAAAGAGAACATTTATTATTCAACTACATGTACGCAAAGGAAAAAAAAAAAAGGAAAAAAAAAAAAGTTGTCAGTGCTTATTATACATTAAGGACTACCAAAAAAAAAAAAAATCTGAGACCATTTTCAGCTACCTGATGTCTGAAATCGACAGCAACCCAGCAGCCCATTGGCACATGGCAGGCGGAGGCCTGCGGCTCACTTGGATCTCAGCAACCGCCCCAAGCGCACAGGTTTGTCACGCTCTCAGCGCCAGCGCTCACAGCATCTTTTCCCGTTAGATGTAACATTCACGTACCACCTCCAGCCCGACGCTGAGACTAAAATCACCGTATTAGCATTAATAAAAGCCGTAGCGATCGGACGCGCAGGCCGAATCCCCCCGTTAAGTTCTGGCCGCCGATCCCAGCCGCCCCCTCGCAGCTCCGGCCGCTGCCCGCACAGCGCCCCGCGCCCCCCGGCCCCGCGCCGCAGCCGTGCCGAGGAGCCCGCTGGGCTCTGCCGCCTCGAGCCGCGGCTGACGGCCGGGGGATGGAAACCGGAGGCTCGGGGACCGTTTTAACCCGTTCGGGCGCCGCTGCGGTAAGGATGAGCGGTCCGCGGGAAAGCGCGCCCCGAGCAGCGCCCGGCGACGCGCGTCCTTCCCCGCAGACGGAACGCGCCTCGGGGGAACCGAGCGGTGCCGACCGGCCCTCCCGGCGCCTACCTGACTCCGCGCCGCTCCGCTCCGCACCCGCGTGCTCAGCGCCGGCCGCCGCGCCCCGCCGCCGCCCTCTCCGGACACCAACCGCAGCGGCCTGATGCTCTCCCGCTCCGCGAAGCGGTTCTCGCCCCGCCGCCCCGCCGCCGGCCCGGCGCCTGCAGGGCAGGGGAGAGGCACCCGTCAGCGCGAGGCCGCCGCGGAGCCCCCGCGGCGGCCCTCGGCCCGCATCCCCCCGGCCCCGGCGCTCACCTGAGGCGGCGGGCAGGGCGCAGAGCGCCAGCGAGAGGAGGCAGGCGGCAGCCCGCATGGCGCTGCTCGCTCCGCGACGTCTGCCGCCGCCCTGCGCCGCCGGCTCCGCGCCTGCACCGGAGCGGGCGGAGGGGTGGGGGGGGGGGCAGTGGGGGGGGGCTGCGGGGCCGCGGCTGCCGCGGGGCCGGAGCTGCCGAGCTCCGCCCCGCTCCGCGCCGAGCCCCCCGCGAGGATGGCGACAGCCGGCGCGGCTCCCGCAGCCCGCTCGGCAGAGGGAAGTGCTGGGAAATGTAGGCGGCGGCGGCAGAGCGCGCGGGGGGAGCTGCGCGGCCGGCAGTGGAAGCCCCCCGGCGTTACGCGCCCGCCGCTCCCCGTCCCGCGCCTCCTCTCTCCCTCATCGGCCGCTGCCTCCAGCCCGGCTCAGTCCGCAGCTGCACCTTTCCAGAGCAAACCTCTCACCCCCTCCATGACCTTTTTTCCTCCCTTCTTAAATTCCCGTTCCCTCCCCGCTGTCTCCCCTGTCAGAGTTTGAGCGCACCGCGCTCTCCCGCGCCGCAGGGCAGCGCAGCGCCCCGCACCCCCGCCGCACCCGCTCCTCCCTCGGCTCTCGGCCCGCGCAGCGCTGAGGCACCCGCGGAACGTCAGCATCCCGGGCCCGGCTGCTTACTGCTACAGCTCGTCGCTTTAAGGGAAGCAATTACCGCGTGGAAGAAAGAAATCCACCTCCACTGTGTTTTCCTCCTACAAACAAGCAGATAAAGCAAGGGCCCACCAAACCGAAGATGGGAGCAAGGCATTTTCAGGGCATTTTAACTGCATCTGGACTGTGCAGGCAAGACTGTGTCACCTCAACGTGTCCATTAGGTCCTCACTGCTCAAACAGCACATAATGGGCACACATTCCTCCTGCAAGGCACCTAGAGGACGGAGGGTAAGGTGGGACAAGAAAATGAGAACTATTTGTAGAGATAAAAAGCAGTGTTATGATACAGTGTTTCTATCTTTTTTTTTCAGAAGTTACAAATCCTTACATCTGGGGCTGCAGCCAATCACTCTCTAGTTGCTTATAAGATCAAAACAGTCCCCACCAGTACCTATACAACAGCCCTTAGGTGGTAGCTTTGTGAGGACTCACGACGTGGGGTATGTATCACATATGCAGCAAGCACAGAATCACAGAATCATTAAGGTTGGAGAAAACCTCTAAGATCATCTAGCCCAACTGTTCACCTACCACCAATATTGCCTGTGTTCGAAAGTACATCTACGCTTCTAAACACTTCTAGGAACAGTGACTCCACCACCTCTCTGGGCATCCAGTTCCAGTCTTTCTGAGAGACATCCAACCTGAACCTCCCGTCATAACTTAAGGCTGCTACCTCTTGTCCTGTCACTGCTACCTGATAGAGGCAAACCCCCACCTCACTACAACCTCCTTTAGGCCAGTGTACAGAGCAATAAGGTCTTCCCTGCCTTATACCTTACACCTACCTTATATCTGCAGGCACACAGATCCATGGAGCAGTCAGACTCCGTTCCTGGATTGCCACATCACATACATCATTTTTATCTTGATATTACCTTTATGCAGAGAACCACTGCAGATATACACAGGAGGTGCCCAGGGCAGCACCAGCTCTGGCTGCACTAGCAGTGCCCGGGGAGCTTTAGCCAGGCTGGGGTTGAGTAAAAGCCCACACACTCCCTACCCCCTGCCCTGGGCTGGTGCCACTACCCACCAGATACGGCTGCCAGAGCCCCATCCAACGCAGCCCTGAACACCTCCCTTGGATGGGGCCCCCACAGCTTCTCTGGTTAAAACCATTGTTTATTGATCTGAAGTAACTCCCTGGAATTTGGGAAATCAGGCAGAGAACACTGCTGATTACCTCTTCCTATCACACTGGGATCTCCCTGGGCTTGCACAGCTTGCACATCCACCTTCACACTGCAAGCTCAGGCTGGATGCATACACTTGTCCTCTCAGCACAGAAGCGGCCACCTGCAAACCAAAGCCAACTTTCCAGCTGTCACTGCCTTGCCAGTTAACATTCCGTATAATTCTATTACAGTGAAAACTCAGGCCATTTTAAAACAAGCAGTAATAGCTCTACCCCTATGTTGCAATGTCTTCCCCATTTGCCAAACACAAGGAGCACGTTCAATGGGACTCTAAACCACAGCTGAAGAAGAATGAGGCTTGAAAAATGTACACCAATATTTCAAAGGATCACAGGGGAAAAAAAAAAAAAGCAAAAAAAGTGATTTATGAGTAGAAATTCAGCTTCTGGTTTGCCACAGATAATGCAAAGACTGTTTGTGAGCCATAATTAATTCTATGCCATAATTTAATAATTAAATGAAACATCTAAGTGTTATTACCACAGCAAATAAGAATGATACATGACTAAACAGCCCTGCTGACACCAAGTTTGTAATTTATTTGGTGTGTTTTTGAAAATTACCTCTCAGTAGTAAAGCTTAAGCTTTGCTGTAATGACTGCGGTAAGAATTAGTGACTTTGCAGTCATGACTTAAACTGCCTAAAGTTTTGAGGAAACTACATTAACTTCTGAACTACTTTATCAGCAATTTGAGTTACAAAAAACCCTACAGAAATTGCTTTGTATTTTTAGAATTCTGATAAAATCTAAATTTCTGGCTTTGAGGAATACACAATGGAGCATTATCCAACAGTTTATGAGTAGACATGATGAAAAAACAACATGGACTCCAACTAGAGAACATTACAGCTGCATAATGCTATGAAAAGTTTAACATTCCTCCTCCCACAGACAACTTTTGTGTTCTGAAATGAAGAGATTGCAACTGAAATCAAAGAAAGATGGTGGCAGATACCAGTCAGGATTGCTCAGAATGGTAAATGAACAGGAGCATAACAAAGTGACACTTAGGTGGCGTAGGGAAAGTAAGCTGGTGCTTTCTGTTCTCCCAGCAGCATAGTTTGCAACTTAAAGGAAGTCTAGAAAATGAAGACCAGTTTACCAGTCACCTGCTTGTTCCAAGCACTCTGCAGTTTTGCCGAGCAAGAGATGTTACTCCTTGAAGATCCTGCTGCTACCTTTAGAAGCACAGTAACAAGATGGAATGCAGACCTGCAAAAGAATGGCCTTCAGGTAGGGCCTTCTTCTGCAAATTCTGCTGCACTGTAGCCAGAAGTTTCATCAGCACATCCAAAGAACAGCAAGAACTTGGGGGAAATGCCTTTGTCATGCATGGTCAAGAGCAGCGAGATGCTTCATCAACTGTTAGGGCAGGCAGAAAGCCCCACACCTGGTTTAAGATGTTAAAGTAGTACTGAAGAAAAAACTGGTTATTTTGAACAGAAAGAACAACAAAGTAATACCAAGAAAATCAGGAAGAAACAGAATCATTACAACATGTTTCTAACCATCTTTTAAGGACGTGGCCTTCTAAGGGCTTGCCTGGGAGTATGAAACTCACAAAAATTACTGCAGAATGCTACATAGGTGTATGGTTTTACTTTTAATCCCTACATCATTGACTGTATGCACACACATATGCAAGCACACACAGATGCAATTCAGGTCCTTGGGAACTCTGTCCTCTCAGCCACACAACAGATTTACCCGAAAAGAAACATTTCTGTTCCAAATAAATGCATAGCAGGGAGAAAAGTCACAGGCTGTGGTTGGGCACCCACTGCAGAGACACCAAACCAGACCTAGTGTACATAACCAAAGTAAAACAACGTACCTCTTCCAGTGCCTTATTTCTAGAAGTGTCATCACTTGTATTTCTTTTCATGTGAATTTTTAGCCCAAGTTTGCCATCTGCAGCTACTGTTTCTATTTTAAGTCTTCAATTAAAGATTTTTCTCTGTCCTACAGTAATGAAGTGAAAAAGTGGGTATGAACAGATCAGTTACAACACGTCCTTATGCTGAATCCAATACATTGTATGTACGGGCTTTTAGTAGTTCTACATGTGTACACGCCTTCTATTTTAGCATATCAAAGATTATCCTAACAATTTCTGCTAAAATAGTGCTATGAAGACAAAACAGTAAGGTCACTGGGCCACAAGGCCACTACTTAAGCAAGAGTACTTTTCTAAAGTAAAAATTCAGGGGCTTTATTTCAGTCAGACTTTAAAATGAAGCAGCATCTGTTCTATCCAAATGTTAAAGGTTTCACTTCTTTGCAACTGTAAAGATGTGTACTTTGCAAAAATTTTTATTCCTGCACTCTGTATGTAGGTGTACGCTGCAGACAGTATGGGAATATTGTATTGAGTTTCTGTAATCATCACAAAAAAAGAGAAGGAATTAGAATATTGGCAGTTGTTTTTGCATGGAATACAAAAGCTACCAATAGCAGCCCATCAGATTCACTGACAAGCACAACAGATAATCCAAAAATGAAATCATTAGACATTTGTTTAGTTATTAAGAAGGAATTCAAACCATAATATGTGCAATTACTACAAAGATTTACTTCCAGATAAAGTGTATTTCTAATACTAAACCTTTACTCTAGCAACTTACTGTACTTGTGGCAGTTTGACACTTCTCAGAATCCCTGCCACACATCCTGTAAATATGCGTTTTTCTACAAACTTGGAAGTCAGAGACAAACATTCTAATAACTAGCTGCCCCTCTTCAGTTCTTTCAAGCTACATTAATACTTTTTAAATTTGGGGGGGAAATACTTGGAAAGACAAACATATGGGAAATTACACACAACTGCACTCCTCCCTGCACACCAAGAATCTTTACCTACCCCTCACTGCAAACATCTACACCAAAGGGCAAACTACTGTAAACAACCATAGAATGGTTTAAACATTGTTAAATGGGTAGGAGATTAATTATTTGTTTACACTCACATGCAAAAAATAATGAGTAATTTCTGCTAGTTTAGCTCTTAGCTTGTAACACCTTGAGGCATCTACATTTATTAATGAAGTTTCACAGTTACCCCCACTCTAATTCAATACTCATGCCTTGCACAGATTTACAAACATGGAACTCCTGAAAGAGATCAGCTTTGGTAAAGATCCAGAGTATTAAAAAAAGTCCTCCCAGTTCCCACTCCTTCATTCTGCCTCCAACCAGGCTGGTCAGATAGGCTGGCTACTCAGAAAGCAAAATCAAACCAAGGGCCCAAGCTGTTCAGAAACCTATTGGCTGTTTTGAGGTTGTTACTGCTGCCTTTTTTTTTTTTTTTTTAAGTCATACATCTACTGCTTTCCATCCACTGAAATACACACTACATCTAGTTTTAGTTTAAGAATAAATTACGGCAGAGCAGCTGAAGAATACAGTGCATGCTTTTCTGATGTTATTTCTTTGTGACTGCATAAACTCCCTACCTAAAACATTAGCAGAAGAGATTTTTGAAAAGCAAGCAACTCCCTCTCCCCCCCTTTTTTTTTTCATTCCCTTGTAAAGTAGCAACAGAAGAATATGAGAAGCAAACAAACCTCCACAAATCATCAGAGGCCCATAAGTAACAGACTGTCTTATTTACAGTGAACCATCCAGTAATTTATAATGTGGTTATTTAGAGTGTACTGTGTTCAGTGTGCCCAGTTAATGATTTTAGAAAAATACACCATCCAAAAGCAGCTACATAATGCTCACTGATTTTGGCTAGCAATTAATATAACCCAAAATCCAGTGGTCACCTTTACTAGCTGTAATAAAGCAGCAGCTTTTAAGAAAAAGAAAACTCTTAGCAGGTTTTATTCACATATACACATATAGAAGTTTTTGCATTAGAAAACCTTGAAAATTAATTCATCTGTACATAACGAAAGAATTAATATTTCCATGAATAAAATCTTAAATCTGCAAATTTATTTGAAAAACATTGTATTAAATAAAGCAGCATTAAAATCCAACAAATGGGGATGAGGATGAAGAGGAAAATAACGAACTAACAACATTTGTGTTCTGCCCTTCCCATACATCTTCTGTGCCAGTCAAATCTTCATGATCAGTGTAAACCGAAAAACCTCTAAATTCAGATTTTATTTCACTTGTCTGAAACAACTCCAGTAGGGCCTGCACTGGTGAGCTGCAATCCCTTTTCTCTCTGGGGACAGACAGTCCATCTGCATACTTCACACATAACTCTATATTCTGTTTCCGGTTTTCTCTTTTATTTCTTCCTAAGCAAAGCTTTACTTTCCTGTGCAGCTTTCCAGATGGTGAACAGTGTGCAGTGTTGGCAGCCAATTCATTAAGTTCTTTGTTTATAGCAGACTCAGATACCTCAGCCTCCAGAACTACATTGTGCTGCATCTGTTGATGATTATCACATAAATCACGATGTTTCTCGACAAACGTAGGATTGGCATCTGTTTTTTTCAAACATTTTGCGGGTAGAACTATTGCAGGATTTAATTTTCTTTTAGGCTGTGCTAAGTTTTTGTCTTTTTCACTAAAATCTGTAACTTGAGTATGAGAACAGAAGGTACACACACCTTCCTGAAAAGGCTGTAAATTCTTTTTATTTACTTCTGGTTCAAGTATTTCTTTACTGAATGGCTCATAATCTTGACACAAGTTCTCCATATATGATTTACCATCTTTCTGAGGAAGTGGCTGTATGAAGTTTGGTGACATTACAGACTGTCCTAGGTTTGTGGCACAGAAGCAATCAGTTCTTGTGTTTTCACCATTATTTCTGAATTTACTTTTTACTTCTGGAGGTTGAGACAGATGACAGTAAAGAACTGAACACAGAGATGCAGAAATAGGGGTAGGCACCAACACGGAATTTGGCTGTACTTCTGCAGGCTGACGATCCAGTTTGAGTGCCTGCATTGTAGTATCTTTCCACGAGTAAGTTTTCAATGAAATGCGTTGCTTTTTCAGTCGTTCTTTCAGCTCATCAGGTCGTGTTATCTTCCCAATAATAGGAGAAAAATATCCTGTACTACATTTTATCCTACAATTAAATTGTTCAGGATGATTAACAATCAAACAGTTGAAAGAAAGTAACATAATTCATTATGCAAACATCTAGAAGAGCAACTAAACTGACAAAGCAAATTTTTTCCAAAGTAAGAGTAGAAACATTATTTCTGCTGCCACGCAGTACTTTGTATTTGAATTTAATCTTTTACTATTGATTTCTACAGCTCATGAATATAGGTAAGCAGTCTACCATTTCAGTAAGTCTCAGTCATGATGCTACTGAGAACAAAAGTTAATGAATACAATGCAATGATAAATACCTGTGAATATCCTATTGCATACAGACACAAGCTTAGCAGAATTATGTTTTTTCCCCTCAAGATAATATTATAGATTGTAGACAAATCTGGATCTTCTTGTTAAAGAGATGAGATTGAATGAGGAAGTTATTACTTGTTCATCTTAGGCTACTAAGAACATCAAAAAGCTTTTAGAGCAAGACATCCAGACACTGCTGTCCTTCCACCAGTTATATTTTAGAATAGTTGACAACTTCTTTTCTGAAGGTTATGGATAGATGGAACAGCTCCTGGAAAGTCTCTCTAGCTTCATATTCCCATGATACCATATGTATCATTTCTTCCTTTTAATTTCTGAAACTACTGCATTGCAAGTTCCAGTGATGTTTATCAGACTCAAAAACATGAACTTGTTCCATACTAGGTTCAGAATTTTATAACTAAAGTGTCTTTATATTTAATGCCTTAACTCACAGATGTTTGAAAATTAAGGACATGCAACTTACCTTTTCATGTTTTTTTCATCATCCCTGTATTCAACAAACTCATAAACAAACTTGGAGATTATATCATCAACAACTTGATACTGTGCGCTTTGTGCAAATTTCTGGTGCTGTTCACTTTCAAGATGCTGGAATTAAAAGGTTATCATGAAATAAAAGTAATGCTACAAATATGAATATACAAATCAATACTCTGATATGGAGCAATATTGATAATTTATTGTTGCTAGAATAAAATAGTCCCATTTTGAAGGGACTTGCAAAGATCACTGAGTCCAACTGTCAGATTGGCTATTCAAAGTTAAAAAATATCATTAGGAGCCAAACGCCACACAAATAGACATCAGGCATCAATTACATCCATGAGAAGCCTGTTCAAGTGCCCAACTGCACTTTTGGTAAAAAAAAATAGAAAATGTTTTTTCCCCTCTAGCGTCAGCTCTGAACACTCCCCATGACACCTTTGAGTCACTGCTACACATTCTGTCACTAGATACCAGAGAGAAAAAATGAGCACCTCTGTCTCCACCTCCCATCTCCAGGAAGCTGAAGGCAGTAATAAGGTCATTCCTCAACCTCCTTTTCTCCAAGCTTCACAAACCTAGCATCCCCCTCATTGCATCTAGCCCTTTTAACCAGCTTTGTTGCCCCTCTTTGGGTCTTAATATCCTTTTTAAACGGTGGGGCCTAGAACTGCATGAAGTTTTCCAGATGAGGCCACATTAATATTAAATATATGAGAATAATCACTTCTTTTGACATCTGGCTATGCTATGTGCAGTTTACTCTCTCTGCTGCTGGGGCACAATGCTGGTGCACAATGAGCCAAATGCCAACCAGCACCTCACCTGCCAGCCAGGTGCAGTCCCATTCACTACAATTCTTTGAGCCTGTTCTTCACCCAGTGCAGTGCATACTTTTTTGTCTCATAACTGGACAAAATATTCAAAAATATTATGAAGAACAGTATAAGCAGTCTTGCTAATATCCAGAAAAACTACATTCAACACATTCCCTTTGTCCACTAAATAGGTGATCTTACAATCAGTGCCTCTGAGACAAGAGCCATTAATGCTTTCAGCCACCATACCCAGAAACAGCAAAGAATTGAAATAGACAAAGAAAAAAAACTTGCTGCTATTAAGAAAATACACTCAGACCTTTTAAATTAAAAAAAAATTAAAACAGCAAATAGAAATCGTTGTTCTACTGTTTTAAGACTATTTGAAAACAATGTATTTCATATTCCACACATACAGTTTGTAGATCTTCATATTTCTTCCCACAGCATTCACAATATCCTCTCCTTTTTTTGTCCTTCTGATGAAGCTGAGCAGGAGTTCTGCAGTCCTTGTCACTGTTTATATCTTTTCTGTTAGCAGAAACAAAATAAATTAATGACTGTTACATACGGAGGTGAGTTCTATACATGCCTCCTACAAAAATGTTCATTTTCATTCACATCATTTAAGAAAGAGAACACCTTCATTCCTTCTCAGACTACTTAAACCACCCTAGTAAATGCTTAGGAAAAACAGAATAGAAATTGATGCACTCAAAAAAAAAATCAATCAATAAATTAGTGCAACAAAACAGGCATACCCAATGGAACCCAATGGAACTATACATGAGAATAAAACATTCAGATTCATACAGATTTCCTACTATCACTGACTCAGATTAAGCAATGCTGAACTTATAAAACAAATCTCACTTGTCAAATCAAAGGATTTGTTGAAATTTCTTTGCACAGCTAATAAAAGGAAGTTTGATAGAATCAAAACTAGGAAGTCTTCCAGCATCTCATCTCCTGTCAATATTTTTGATGCAGAAAAACATTTGGTATAATAGATGATCTTTCCTTCTTTGATAAAAGGTAAAGAATAGTCCTATTTGTTGGTTACATGCAGCTTTTGAACATGTTGATCAAGTATGATTCAGTCGTCTTCTTCAAGGTACACGTTAAGTGGAAATACGAGGAAATGAACCAGAAGTTCTTCCAGAAGATAAAACCACAAAGATTTTCAATATCTGTTCCATGACCTTCAGAGTCCTCATCTGGACAGAGCTACTGCTTGTTGCAATTCACTACTAAGCTACCCTACAGTAAAACAAAATCATCAGTTCCTACTTTCATTTTACTTCAAGAGAATAGTGCCACCTCCCTGTCTAGACAAAAAAAATCATGCTGTCAGACTCCACCAAGAATCTGCATAGATGCTTTATATAAAGACCAACCAAGCATTTGTTCAGATTCCAGAGTCCACTTTCAAAACTGCAGTAGCGTTTTCACCTCTTCCCTTAGAAATGTAAAAATCACGAAGAACCACTAAGGCTTGCAAGCCACAAGATAAAAGAGACAGAATTTATTATCTGAAGTGTGACCCTTCTTAAAAAAAGAAATGACAGTCATCACCTTTACCTGCTAGCTATGGAATAAATAAAACTCCACCTAAACATCTCTGGCATGTGCCAGATTGACAGATTAATAAGAAATATTACCTGGAACCCAATTCCTGAAATTTAAAACTAACGCCTCGTATTTCTTAATCTATACATACAAAAAGACTATTGTACTTTTCATTTTAGAAAGTGGTTTAAAGAGAACAGGCTATCCTAAGGCCCCTTTGAAGAGACAGCATCAGAAATACCCTACTTACTGCAAAGGTTACTGCACTATGTTGCTGTGCTCATTTATCATTGCAACATCACCTGAAAACCTCCAGAAGTCTAATAATAGTTTAGACTGGACAAAATATGGACAACGCAGAAGCTATTTAGGTTTGACACTTGTTTTCTCTATGAATAAGTTTTAGATCTAAAGAACAGAACAGCAGCAAAAGTTACCAGACACAAAGTTTCAAGTAAATCAAAGCTGCTTTTCACCTAAATATTTTAGTCTCTGCTATGAATCAGTTCTTGAAGTCAAACATTTATAGTCTCTGTGTATGCAAGAAGAAGAAATTAAGGACACCAATTTCCCCCAGTAAAAGAAAAATCAACATCTGAAAGTTGTTTCAAATCATAAAATTGATTTGAAATCTCTGGAATACTCAGAGTCTGAACATCAACCCATATCACATAAACACTTGCTGAAAGATAAACTAACTACAGAAAGTATCCGTTTTTCATCTCTGAAGCAATGAAGCAACATTCGCAATGTCTAATTTCTATAAATTTAATTGTGCATGCAAGGCAGATGTGCTCCTTAGCAATAATGATTTTGAACTATAACTGAATATCACTTAACAATTAGGTGCCTTCTTTTCAGCTTTTTACTGACAAACATCACAGGAAGTCTTAAGAAATTTACTGCCTATAAAATACTTACTGGATGGCATCCAAGAGGTGGACAAAGAAGAAACCAGTGGTAGAAAAGAAAAAAATATCTTATGTTGACCCCATCTTATGATAGGAGAACGCTGCATTTCCGGATGTATGCATCCGTGTGTCCAAAATAAGGACTAAAGACAGGATAAAGAGGGTACAGAAAGACAGACAGCAATAGTTACAGTGTAGCAAATGCAACAGTCAAGATGTGGAAATTAGTATTAAGTATCACAGAAATAAGAAGCAGAAGAATTCTTTTAGAAAATAATTACTTTTAAAATTATTTTGGAGGATCTCTCTCTCCTCTGTATATAACTCAATAATGAGTAATCAACAAACCTTTGCTTAGACTGAGTTTGTTTTTGACCAGAAGGATGCTTCTTATCCACCTCAAATGGACTACAAGGTTTTGGAACACAGTAGTTGAGAGCTGGAAAACTCGGTAACTGCAGATAAAATGGTCGGTAGGAGCTGCATTAAGACAAAACAGGTGCATTAGAAGCAGCAAAACAACCAAGCAGTTTATATTAAAAACTATAAATAGGTTAAAAGGTCTTTGAAAACAAGCTTCTCTTTCACATGTAATGTACAAAAAAAATGCTAAACAGATAAATAACCAAGGAAAAGTAATTCCTTTCTTCTTCAATGCCTCCTCAAAATAAAGTTTGCCTTGACTTTTCAGAGCTGCCAAGCACACTCCATGGCTACGTCTGGCTGTAACGTGTAGGAGATCTGCACAACCAACACAATTAACAATTTCGATGAAAGTAGATCCGTGTTCCTGAGAAATAGCATTCCTACCTCAAATGTTTGTTTTGTTTTTTTTTTTTTTTAAATCAATTTCCCCTTTTTGAAAGGCTTCCAATTTATCATTGAAAATATTTTTAAAACTGAACATTAAGTTTCCATGGAAGTAGTTTTCCTGCACAGAAACAAAACATACATAGAAAGACAACAGAACTAGCAAGTACACCAGCACTTGTATGTATTAAAAGTGTTTGAAAAAGGTAATGACAAAATTCACATAATCACTTAGCTGCAATGTTCAGAGTCCAATATAAAATTCACACATTTATATATTTTGTGCTTGAAAACATATTTATCCCACTCTCCCCAATACTCTCATATCCATCACACCTACTCTTACCAGCTCACAGTATAAGACTAGATTCAAGATTCCCACTCATGTTGTTATAATTCATTTTTCTCCCAACTTCTGGCAACCTCTTTCCTTATTGAGGAGTTACACAACCAGATCCTATTGATTACGAGTTCAGAAAAATGCAAAAATTGTGAAGTCTGAAAGTATCAGATCTTACGCTATGACAGTAATGAAGTTAGATTAACAGCTGTGTTTTTTTTTTAAGTAATAAATCACTGAACTGTAAATTTAGCCTGATTTTGAGGAATGTTTTATGGTATAATGACTTTTCTTACAGTCTCCCAAGATGAACATTAAGAGTTAGAACTACCAATATTTAATATAGAAAGATTTAATATAGAAAGCTTTATTAGCCTTTTGGGCTACATGAACTGGATCTAAGAAAAAACAGGCAAGATGTCAAGGTTTAAAGTTTCAAGGCTTCCTCCTTTTAATTCATCTGGCTCAAAGAACAGATTAAACCAAACCCTGTCCTGATCTACAAATTGCTACACATTAACTTTTTACTACTACTACCCATCCCAAACATTTCCCACCATACTAATACCTCTTTCATTTCATCCGAAGACTCAACACAGATTCCTACCCAAACCACACATAGATGGAAACGTCTGGTCTTTAAAGTCAGCAAGCCCAACAAGACACGTTTCTGAATTTCTCAGTTTGAGAACTACACTGAAAGCACACAAAACACTCACCGACTTCTATCTTCCACCTTCACAAATGGGTTTTTCAGCTTACCTGCTCACAGGAGGAAAAAAGGAAATTAAGAGAAATACTTTGCTTCGTTTAGCAAGTTTACAAGTTCTTAGACAGACAGGCATTATTTTAGAACTCATTATGTACATGCTTTGACAAACTCCTGATTTTCAAGAAACTTTCTTAGGCTTACAAGTTAGAAGACAGTTTTATACTTGATTTGCTTATAAGCATTCAAAAAGTTCAGCAAAACCTCTACACATTGAAATACTTACTTTTTGACTTTTGAGTGGTAACTTGTTTTCCCTGTTGAAAAAATAAAGGAGGAAAAGTGTAATATTCATAGGAATTTTATTTCACACTTTATCTTAAGACTTGATTTTAACTTATGAGAGTCTCCCTATGACAATCATAACTTGTGATACACAATTGTGATAAATTTTGTAGAAATCAAGCTCACCAGGAAATAAATACAGTCCTCTTTCCTAAAGCAGCTCTTATTCATAGACCGCAAAAACAAATGTTGTCATTGAGGTTATAGTCTTAACATTTATAAAACACACTAGTCAGTGAAAAACAGAACAGTAGCAAGACCTGATTAAAATAAAATCTGTATGCATCACAGTAGGCCGTATTTAATATGCCTATCCTTTTCATTTAATCAAATTAACAACAAATTAACTTTCACAAATGGCAAAAACACACTTACCACATCTTTAAAAGAATTGCCTGTGCTTTTAATTAGGTAGAGCTCTCTCTTCTTTTGTTCAATATAATGCTTAACATCTAGCAAAGAGAAAATTATATTTCAGCTGAATTTATTTTTGTATGTTTGAAGTTATTTATCATTTTTAATATTTCAAACACAAAAGTTCAAAGAAATCAATGTTATTAGTTCAAGTTATGCTTCACCAAAGATATTTACCATCAATATGAAGTACTTTCACTCCCCAACTCAAAGCATTGGACAGTATGCTACCAGAGGGGATTAATTCCTGTTAAAAAAAAAAAGAAATTCTCATTTTGAGCAGAAGATCAAGTAAAATGTAATAAATATACTACATCTTATTATAAGAACTATGTTATGAAAGCTGAGATCCAACTGTAGAATGTTTATTTACTTCCTGCCAAAATATTACAACTATCCTCAACTGACTTCTCCATCTCCATGTCACACTTTGCTATCAAAGGATTACAGTTAACGTTTTACAAAGCCAAGAGCATTCTCTACTGTCGTATTTTATAGTATCTAATACTTGAAGACAATGAATTTGTACATTTACTTCAATTTCACAAGCACTTTTCAAATGCTACCTACAATTACAATCTTGATAAAATATAATACTGATTATAAGACCATAAGGATTTCAGTTCTTCAGGAAGTATCCAGAAAGCACAGTCTGACTCGTGCTTTGCTTAGAACAATCCTCTAATTTCTGCCTGAACATCCCATGAGACACCTCTGTCTTAGACCACCATCATTCTTACTAGTGCTTGTTTTCCAGAACCTCAGGACCAAAATTCCTCTAGTACAAATGTAGAAATTACCTAGCTTACCTGCTCTCTGATTGCTTTTTCAGCTAAGGATTTTCCTCTGCTCAAACGTACCTATATTAGAACAGAAATACATTCATAGCAAGTTAGATTTCATTTCAGAAAGTAAAAGATAAGGCAAATTAAAAAATTGTTACTAGCAAAAGTCTACAATAGTCTTTTTTTTGTTTCGTAGTTATTTTTCATGAATTTTCATTTTTCATAGAAGGTTGGGGTTCATACATTCTGAGGGGAAAAAAGAAAAAGTAGTTTTCAACCAAAGCAGGTCAATGAATGGCTGAAGCAACGTCAAGTGCTGGATCAAGACAGATGGTGTGAACAAGCAGCCTGTGGGATATACCAAAAGATGAGGTTTCATCAACTGAACTTATGCTAAATTTAGCTACCAGCCATGAATGTAACTACAGGCTCAGGCATAATTATCTCTGACTTTTCTATCATCAGTTGCTCCCTTTGTACTATATTCTGCGCATTCATAATGAACATGCCTTCACTTATCCAGGTTATTGTCAAGAAGAGGTGACCTCAGCCACCCAGTCCAACAAAAACCAATACATAGACTGTCCCACACCTATGTTTCTGAGTAAGTATCACGTTAGGATAGAGAGGGCACTAAACTTGCCAATGAAACAGACTTCAGGTAAATCTGCAGAAACTCAGAAACTAACTGAAATTAACACAATCATCTAAGAATTAAAAAAACTCTGATAATACAATGTTCAATTGTAATTATTTCATTGAACTACCATCAAAGACTACTTCTGTGGGTATCTGCATTAACAACATTAGAAAACAAGACACGAAAAAAATTCTGATAGTGCATCTCCCAGGTTGTAGTTGTTTTGCAGCATTATTATTATAGAAACTTACTGCATCTGCTGCCTTAAATGAACTTCCGTCCTGTCGATCTTTTTGGTTCCTGGGATAAGATGTACCATTTCCTCCATTAGATACAGATTCTGGGCTAGGAACTGGAGAGATCTGACTAAGAGTTGGTGCAAATTTTGCCTCCTTTTTACTGGACACCAGATAGCTGATATCTTTGCTAAGAAAACTCTCCACTCTCTAATAAAAAGAAATAAAGCAAATTATTATTTCAGGACAATGGATTAGTAATTCCCTTCTTGCTTTGTGTGCACTGAAGAAGAGACAAAACTTCTAAACAAATCTACTATTACAAAAAAGAATTATGAGGAAGACATTTAAAATCTATACATAACGACAACTGAACTGCAGCAAGATCTTACCAATCAGAAGCTTTATAGTTTCACTTCTGATTTTCTAACCCAAAGCAAAGTTGTTTTTTTGATTGGTTTTGCTTATTACCATTTCTTGATGTATTGAGCTCTAATACTTTCCAAACAGAACTCAAGTGTGCTGAGAAATTACAGAATAATTCAAAGGAAACCACATTTTACGTAACTTAACAGAAGTCATGAAGTGTTCAGCTAAACTTAGCTCACAAAGCAAACGTAATTTACAGTTTGCAAGGAGATACAACAATGAACTTCAGAACCCACAGAAAAATGAGACTGTGAAACAATAGTTACCCCATTTCACACCTAAAGTGTTCATAATGCTTCTCAAAAGCATAGATGCTTGAATAGAGTAATAGCATTTTTATACTCACTAAAACAAAGTGTATATTTCCCCCATCAGAATTCATGATTTCAATACAAATACTTAATTTTCATTAACATACTCTGCAGAAAGCATTTACTGAAATGCCTTACTAAGGTCAAATGGCAAGGCTGAAAGTGTAAAAACCTGACTATTAAAGTAGTACACAACTTTAACCACCAAAATTTCTTGCTGGCTTTGAGCATCTCCAGAGGAAGCTTCAGCACCTCTCTCCGGGCAGCCAGGTCCAGTGCTGGAGCTGATCATCTCAGCTGACTGCTGACATTATAGAGCATTTCAATTTCCTGCTGCTGCTCCTCACCACACCCAAGCCTTATCAGCCATTCTTGTGATAATGCCACCAGAATGGGTGGAAGTATCGCTCTTAAAAATGTGGCTTTCACAGCTGTTTGCTCATAGTAGAAGGATGAGTACTTGAAAACATTCAGGTTAAAACTCAGAATGTAAGTGGAATTAGCTATGCAAATCTTTTTGTTTAAAGAGCCCCAGAGTACCTTTTAAAGAATAAATGCCTTTAAGAAAAAAAAAAAAGAAAACCAGCAAGAAGTCAATGTGGGGTTGTTGGGTTTTGTTTGTTTTTGAAACCTCATCTCATGCCACTTTGGTCTTGCTTCCTAACTCTGCTCCTCTAATTTAGCTCACATTTCAACCATGATATTGAGGAGCTGATGTTCCACAGCAATCTCTCAAAACCTTTTGTTCCTCTCTACATCCCTTTGGGCCCATCAACCACACAAAAACTCTTTCTTCAGTTCTTTCTCCACAACCTGCCCTGAATGCCAAGAGGGATGCATACCTCCTCCCTCTGCTAGGTGATAATATTCCAGCTCAGCCTTTATAAGCCTCAGCCTGTACTTAGTTGAGGGGAAAAAAAAAAAGTCAAACCACTCTCCCATTATACTTCTAGTTAAATAGCCTCTAAACATAAAATGTATTAGAAAATCTGGGAAATTATCTTATATATGATTCGATTAAATGCATGCAAACTCTATCAAATCATTCAAGTAAAAGACAATCTTAACAAATAACCCATACCAAGCTAAAAGAATGAGACTTTCCATAAACATGCAAAACACTTCCTCTAACCTCTTTCGGGTTCATCAGAAGAACTTCAGTTTTAGCACATTTACTTGTGTCAAAAATACTCAGAGGTTGCAGAAAACACTTTGCCTCAAACACTGAAACTTAGGGCACTTGAATAAAAATCTAAGTAAATGAAACATCAGCTGAAAACAAACCTCTATGATAAAAACTTCTGCTACAGATAGCAAAACAGCTCCTAGTAAAAACAAGCAAAAACCCCATGAAAACAACTTCTTGATAAGCTGATTAGCTATACTAAACATTAAAATAACATTAAAAAATAAAACTCCTTCACTTCTCAAATAAATGTAACATTAAAACACAGTAGCACAGTACACGGAATAGCCATCCCAGACGCAGATTTTCTTTCAGTTTCATTTGAACATTAACTTACCCCTCCTAGTTCTTTAAGATCCTTCCCTATTTTTTCAGAGATCACATTTGATGGAATATCGAGGTAAAACACTTTCCCAGTAAGTGGTTTATATTTCAGTTTCTCTGGTTTTCCTACTTCTTTTTTGACGCTCTTCAGAGAAAATTTTATCTTTTCTGTTTTTGCTTGCATTTCATCTGCTGCCAAGAAAGAATTATATTGTATGAAATGTGGGTTCTCTGTTTAAAATGAAAGAAGGCAAGCTTCCATATAATACAACACATTTAATAAAGACCTACATGTTAAACATATCAAAAACGAGACATAAATAACAAAGAGCCCTTAAAAGTTGCTTTTTTTTTTCTTTTTAAAATCATGTCCTAAAATGGATTTTTTATTTCAGTTGCCATACGTCATCAATTTTCTCATCCACTTTGTTAAGCATTTTCCATCTTCATAGCACAGTACATACACTATTGGTACAGTCATGGATTATCACAAGAGCACTATTTTAAAGGAAAAAGACCAGCCTCTCACTTTTTCATCTAAGAAAAAAAGGAGATTCATATAGAAGCAAAAGAACAAAAACAAGTCAAAAGCCAATGAAACAAAAAATAAGAGGAAGATCATACTAGTTATCTAACTTTTCAGCATCCATCTGAGACTAAGGAAGTCTGCTTAAAGTTCCAGAATCATTGTAGTTACAACCACTCTTTCTGTCCTCTGTTAATTTTCCCTCTTAAACTAAGAGACAACTTACAGCAACTGAATCATAGAATGAATCACAGAATGGTTTGAGTTGGAAGGGACCTCAAAGATCATTCAGTTCCAACTCCCCACTATAGGCAGGGACACCTCCCTCTTGAGGGCAACACTGCTCACAGCCCCATCCAGCCTGGCCTTGAATGCCTCCAGGCTGAGGGCATCCACAGCCTCGCTGAGCATCCTGTGTTCCAGTGTCTCACCACCCTCACAGTAAAGAATTTTCTTGATATCGAGTCTAAATCCACACTCTTCCAGTTTAAAGCCATTTTCCCTCGTTCTATTGCTATCTCCCCTTATAAATAATCCCTCTGCAGCTTTCCTGAAGGCCCCCTTCAGGTACTGGAATTAAAAGCCTGATGATCAACTCAGAACCATCCACTCAAGTCCATCAGAATAGACAAATAAGGAAATTTAAAGAATTAAAATAAATCAGTCTGAGTAAGAATTAAGTCTCATTTCAGAAGAGAAACCTTGTATGTACACTGAGTATCAAACAAAAAAAAAAAGTAAAAACAAGAAATCCTCCAGAAATTGCTAAAAAACAGAAAATAAATTGGGCAATTTTATTATACCACTATATAAACTCATGAATTGCCACACTTAAATAACATGTGCAGCTTTAAGAGGGAAAAAAAGGTGCATGAGGAGTAGAGCATGTACTCTACAACCAAGAAAGAGAAAAAAGTGCAAAAAAAAGATGATCAAAAGCATTTGGAATCATCTCACATATAGGTGCTCAGTGGGCAAAATAAGTGATTTAGGGGAAATACGATAAACAAAATTAAAAAGAGCAGAGATAATGGCCGAATAGCTCATTCCAGTACAAGAACTATGGGGCATAAACCCCAAACCAGCAGTTAGGTAGAAAATAAAAAGAAAGTGATACTGTATGTACCAGAGGACACAAGCAATAGAGGGGTGTGAATCTGAAGAAGAGGAAGAGAAGAGGCACAGAAGAGGAATACTTTGAGAGATCCTAAATGCACTCAAGTGTGAGCGACCATTCCTACTTGCATCCATTCCAGGAGTCCTTTTACAACCTATGATGGTTTACAACCTATGATGGAGGCTCAATCATCCAAGCCCGGCATTTTGGTGGTTTTACACTGCTTTTCTCCTCAGTGACTGCGGGTCAACCTCTGGTTACTTCTCCTGTGGAGAAGTTCAGAAAGGACAGAGAGCTGCTACAGGAAGCGAGCAGGCATCTTCTAGAGTCAAAACGGTCCCTCAGCCACGCATTCTCTCCTTCCCTGAAACTGCCTTAACAGGAGGGAGCAAAGCCACCACCGCTGCTGTATTCTCCCAGCAGTGGTTATGAATATGTAGAAGCAAAGCAGGAAGAGCAGTTAATTCGGTAGAATCTGAGAAACCAGGAGAAGCAGACAAACAGGAAACGCGGAGGCTTTGGACAGCGTAACTCATTTGGAAGCTGAAGAGAGAAGGATGAAGTCCCGAGCCACAGATAAGCAGACGGGCAGGAGAAGCTCTGAAGGGATCAAACACCGCGTCACACAAGCGACGGCCAGGGCACCTCAAAAATTACTGCGATCACCGCTGAAAAACGCGGACCGAACTTGCTCGGCGTAACGCAAGGCCCGCAGCCGGTAACAGCGCTCAGCCGCCCAGCGCTTCGTGCGCCCTGCGGATGGCGGCACGGCGCTGGCCACGGAGGGGCCGCCCGGGGCAGGGCCTGCGGGCAGCCGGCTCGCGTCCCTCCCCAGTTAGGCTTTTAACGACCGATTCCCGACACCGGGCGAAGCGAAAGGGCAAAACCGCCGAGAGGGAATGCCGGCGCGCTACCCCGCCGTAGTAACGAAGCCGGCCGCAGGCCTACCCGCCGGCAGCAGCCCCGGCCCCGCCACTTACGGGGACGCGCTCCTTTGTTGCTGACCTCCGCGGCGCTGGGTTTCATCTTCCCGCGGCCTCACATCCTCCCGCCGGGAGCCCCGCGGGCGCAGCACCGCCCGGCCGCCCCCTCCCTTCGCCTCCCGGCAGGACGATGCCGAGCCTCGGCGCTCCGCGGCCCACGGGCGCCCGCCGCGGCCCGCGCGCTACCAACGGTCCGCCGCGTGCGAGCCCCGCCCCGGCGAGAGGGAGGGCGGGAAGGCGCCGCCCGGCGGGGTGAGGGGGGCGCGGAGGGACGGGAGGGGAAAAGAGGCCGCCGCGAGGGCGGGAAGCCCGCGTAGGGGTACCGCCTCACCTCAGCGCCGCCCTCACACGGGAAGACGCGCCGCGGCTCTCCGCACGGTACTGAGGGCGTGGCGGCGGCACGGGGAGCGCCTCAGTCCCGCAGGGTCCTAAATGTGCGGAGGGAGGCGTCGGTATGGCGGCGTCTGGGGGCGGAGTCTTTCGTTTTAAACTCGGGGAACGTAGCAAAACATTCACAGAATCACAGAGTTGTGTAAATGACAGGACTTCTGGAGATCATCCGGCCCACTGTCATTGTCCTGACACTGGGCACCGCTAGAAAGAGCCCGGCCCCATCCGTTCGATTCCCTCACTTTAGGTATTTATAAACAGTGATGAGATCCCCCTCAGCCTTCTCTTCTCCGTGCTGAACACTCCCATGTCTCTCAGCCTTTCCTCATCAGGGAGATGCTCCCAGTCATCTTTGCAGCCCACTGCTGGACTCTCCCCAGAAGTTCCCTGGACTGAGGAACTCAGCACAGGACACAGTACTCCAGGCGTGGCCTCACCAGGGCACAGTAGAGGAGGAGGATCACCGTGCTGGCTGCAGTCTTTTTAATGCATCCTAGCATACCATTGGCCTTCTTGGCCACAAAGGCACACTGCTGGCTCGTGGCCAACCTGTTGTCCACCAGGACACCCAGGTCTTTCTCTGCAGAGCTCCTCTCCAGCAGGTCAGCCCCTAACTTGTACAGAAGCATAAGGTTATTCCTCCCAGCTGTAGGACTCTGCACATACCATTGTTGAACCTCATTAGGTTCCTCTTCATCCAACTTTCCAGCCTGTCCTATGGATCAAATACAAAGCTTAGATCAATACAAACTAATAAAGTCACAATTGCACTTACTAAATCTGTGTGCGTTTTCAAAGGTATGTCCCTCAGCCATTTGTCTTTTTAGGTGGTCCTGTATGGAGCCAGAAGCTGGGCTTAATGATCCTTGTGGATCCCCTTCAACACAGGATGTTCTGTCATTTGGGGATTTTGTGTCCTGAAAATGGGCTCGTTTTGCTCTTTGATTGTTTTTGTTTTCTTTTTCTGCCTAGATTTATATTAGCTCCTTATTTCTAGATTCTGTGCTTACATTTCTAAGGTATTGAGTCCTTGCCTATGAAAATGTACAGCAGGATTTGTTGAAGGAATTAATATTTACTGGCAGCATTCACCAGGAGACCTCTCTGGATTTTCTCATAGGAATGACAGAAGCAAGAGGGGGGTCTGGATGAAGTGCTCTGCTCTGCTGCAGTGTATGGGTTGCACAGGCAGAGCACTTACCTTTGTACAGACCACTGACATGCTCCTAAGCCCTTTGTTGCAACAAAAAGTAAGGTATGTTACATATTTAATATGGTTTGTAAAGTGTCAGGTAATTTATGTTTAAAAGTTTAGGAAGTTTTCCTGTTATGTAGAAAACTTAATTTCAAACAAACAAACAAAACCCCACAAAACAAAAAACCTGAGTTCCCTATATGCAAGTTGTATATTACATTTTCTTACATTACTCCTGCTTATATGTAATGCATTAGTAAAAATTAAAAATAATTTTTTACTTGATTTTTCTGCAAGTTGTAAGCAAGTCTTGCAATATACTTCTTCTGTTCCTTAACAGATTTTTCTTCTCTGAGGATAAAGTGATGGCTGAGATGAGTAATAGTAATTTCAGCAAAACAACCACTATTCAGCAGGCAGTGTCCTCTTGCTGCGGAGCTATAATTACATCATTGTTTGGTAAGGCAAACTTGCTACAGAGAAAATCTTTACAAAGTGATTGCTCTTTGGTTTGATGGAGCTTGCTGATTGCATATATGTGGTTTGTAAACTTCTGCTAATGTTTATTTTTTTATTTTTTTTAATTATATCAAATATGGTGGTTAATTGAAATCTTTACCCTCCCTGATAACCTTTAACTATTTCTGAAAATAAGAGTAATTTTAAACTTTTTCTTCCTTTATCTTTTCTCACTGCTTGCTTTCTGGAAAAACAAACAAACAAACAAGCAACAACAACAACAAAAAAAAAAAAATGAAAATGACTTTCTATCCTTTCTGCCACTTAAAAATAGTTTTTAAATAAAAATTTACAGTTCTAGATACAAACCGTGCAAGACTGGACAACATGAGATGTCCTCTTCACGTTACCACTGCAGTAGTAACATCAATTCACTTGCTCTGCTGTTGTACGCTGTCAGAGCATTTTATCATTTGTTTCCTTCAGCAATTTTAAGGATAGGTTTTTTTGTAAGGTCTTTTAAACGTGCAGATAATCTGTGAAATTGAGCTTTTACTTTTATTCAGTCCTCTGGCTCATGACGTCCTTTCCCATGTAAACCTAAGGAGGCACTGGTTGGTTAGGTTCAGTGCTTCATGTCCCTTGTAGCTTGTCAAGCTTATTCTGTTACTTTTTTTGCCTTAAGCTAGCCTTTGGTTCTGACTTTTAACACTGACTAAGCTGCAGAGAAATGTACAATTTTCTAAGCATGACTCCTCCCGCAAAAACCTTCCAGACTTTTATAAATTAGGATCTTACCAGGACCTTGCCAAATTCAGTCTATTCATTGTCATTACACAATGTGTCCTGTGATATTAGTTAAAGTAGTAGGCAAAGCTAGATCGAACCTCTAGAATTCACAAAATGTATTTCAACTCTTTGTGCATAAGGTTCTAGTTTAAGATATTGGTATTTAAGGGCTTAGCAGGTATAAGGAGACCTTTTCCTTTCTGAAGTGGTATCTGGGAGACTAGGAAGAGTTATGTGTGATTGGCTAAATGATAATAAGAGCCAAATTTTATATAACTGAAATGAGCTGCAAGAGTCACATCGAGATCCCTGCATTTAGACAAAGAAATGTGAGCAGAGTGTACTGGTCAGCAGATGGACATCAACGGAGAGCTGAGGAGTAAATATTTGCCTGGGCACAAGCATATCATATACACATGCTGGGTTATTTGACCTAGTCACCAGCTGCTGCTTAATGAAATTGTAGGTTCTGTGTCATATCTGTCCATTGTGTAGATATTTTGGATACCTTGGAGTCTCACATGGCACTAGCTGCTGTGTGTACGTAACTGATTGAAGCCCTGAGTCAATGCAATCAGCAGAGGTTGGAGTGTGGTCCAGCTGACAAACAACTGCAGGGTTCAGCATGGCTAGGACTGTTGTAATCTCAAGTAATGAACGGGAAGCAAAAAAAAAAAAAAAGTTCCCTAAGCCTACATTTACTTTTCAAAAGTTTTAGATCTGCTCCACACAAAGGAAAGAAGGGAAGTACATCACAAGTTTAAAGTTTTTGTTTGTTTGTTTGTTTTCTTTTGTACATCACTATTAAGATTAGTTTAATTAAAAAGAATAAATGCATAGAAAATGCTGTGGTTTTTTACATGCTTGAGACAAAATCTGAAGCTCCCTGCTATGCCTTTATAAAAAGTTAGCAGCCAGAGAAGAGTAGCACAACTTTTAACAATTTCATACAAGTTGGCACAATGTGTTTTTTTGTGAGCTTTGTTTATTTCAAGCAGTTCTATGTGCAACTGTTAGTAAGTTAGAAATGACATATAGGGGATATATAGGTTGGGTTGCTTTTGATGGTGATGATTGTTTTCTTTCCCCCTCTGGCTGATTACACTGTCAAATAGTTCTCACTCTTCTTCCCTATCCCCCATCCCTGAAGAGCAAAAGCTGTAAAAGTTCCTGATGAGTTATGTGCACACTTTTACATTTTCAGGTTATAAAGTGTTTCTAAATGATTACTTTGCTTCATTTTAGTAACTCCTCTTGATGTTGTCAAAACTCGACTGCAAGCCCAAAGCAATCCGTTCCCCAAAGGTAAGCAGTGCTCTGCAGTTGAGGGCGCACTTTGCTCTTTGCTGTCACACTTAGCGGGTAATTGTCACGGAGCTGAGTAGCACAATGGCTTTCTTTGTTTCTCAGTAGCTACGTTTGTTTCCTCAGTCAGTGAGCCGGGAAATTAATTAAATAAACAAACAAACAAACAAACAAACACACACACACACACACACACACACACACACACAATAAAATTGCTAAAGAAAAGATGTGCTACTGAATAGATACAATGGAAAAAAATCTTGTGAATCAATTTCATGTAAAGTAGGCTATATGATCTCTTTCTCAGTATGGAAGAATGTACAAATATTAATCAATTGAGTTAAAAATAAAAAGCTATTAATACATTACTAAATATTTTGATAAGGGGCTTATGTGATCACTGTGTTATGTCAGAGTCCCTCTCCTCCAGAATCAAAAAACTTTTGAAAAAGAGTAGTAAAATTCTTAGATGAGTCTTGTCACCTGGGTTCTAAATAGGTTAATACATTCTGTGCTCAAAGACTTGACTATTTAGTTGCCATTAATAAATGAGATTTAACAGAAAAAGAGATGACTGCTGTAGAAGTTTCTTGTATGTTGAGGTAAGTATTTGCATTAACAGTTGCCATAAATTAAAAAAAAAAAAAAAAGTAAAATGCTTGTGGCTGGTACTTTAGTAAATTGTAAACTCTTTGAAAGTGTGAAAATGTAATGTGGGACTCAGTATGTTTTTGTAATGGCAGGAGTATTTTATTTAGCAGATTCAAGGTACATGATGTAGAAGAAATAAAAATTAGAGAGGATGATCAAGTGCAAATATAGATTTGCCTAAGATGTAATACTTCCATCCATAACATGGATGCAGGGAAAGCTCAGTAAGAGATTTGAAAGTCAGAAAGATGTTCAGAAAGCACAAAGGTGACACTCAGGATTTGTGTCGTTGTCTTTTATCCTTCAGCAGGTGGCACTGCCACACAGCATGTCTCCCTGAGCCTGTGGGGGCAATTTCCCTTCCTGGCACTGTGAGGGATGCCTTTGTTTTCTTTTTCCCTGTACCTTTGTTTTCTCTTTCCTTCTACCTGGTCTGTTGATATTGACTTTTCAAAGCTACTTTGTCTCTATTTTTCTAACCAGAGATAAATCTGTCTCACCACTATATCCAATATGGAATTGCTGCAGAGTAAGAACATGCATTCATTATACTTCTATACACTGTTTTATTAGGAAAATGTTTTGTATACTCCAGTGGCCAGATGGATCATACGTGTGTTTGTGAGAATGGAGATGGTAAGGCATGCTATAAAAGAAATGGGCATTTCAAAGGGACATTGGTAAGGACATTTCATATTTATATGAAAGTGTACATTTTAAACATTTTTAAATGGCATCCTATACATTTTTTAAATTTATCTATTTATTTAAGTTTTTGCTGTTGTTTGAGAGGGTATTCACGTGGTTACACAGTGTAGTTTAGGTAGTGATTAATGATGCTTTTTTTCTAGCTGAAAATGCAAATTCCTTTGGTAAAATGAGTAAGAGAGCAGCTGCACAGCTTCTTGTTGAACTACTATTATATTACACACGTGATCAAGGATTTTTCAGAATTTAATATTTGAGAAGAATGAAGTGTTCATGAAATAGCTCCTTGAATGGTTCTACCATGACCAAATTTTATTGAAATTAATAACTTGTCTGAATATTTCAATTAACTTTACCATATAATTTTTAGAAAATCACTTAGTTTTCCAACTGACATTATGATGTGCCCATTTTTGCAATAACAAGATAATTCATGAAGAAGAATAACTATCATATCATCAGATTTCCTTTCATAAAACAATGCAGCAGAGAAAAATGTAGTAGACATGGTAGTTTGCCCATGCTGGAACCATTCAAATGTTCTGATATGTTTGTCCATACCATTAGTAAGATACATACATTTGCTGCTCAGACACTGGATTTTGTGGCATCCTTTCTCCTGTCATTTATCTGTACCTTCCTGGACTGTAAATTTCTTGGTTCAGCATTATGAACACGTATGTCTAGAACTAACAAATACAAAAGAAGCTTGAAGAAAACAAAAATAGTAGTACCAGCCCTTTTTGTAGCCTATCAGGTTCAGTATCTTCTGAGGCCCTGTAGTAAAGCCTGATCTTGACCATATTCTAATCTGTCAAATTTCAGCCTCTTCCTCCCAAAAGTTTAAGAAAAATAAGTTCCCTGATATTAGGGAATTTATCTCTTGAAGATGTTTTCAATTCAATGGCCATCAAGGTTCAGTGTTCCTCTGCTGTCAGTGGCCTGGGAAATGTATGGACAGCTGTGATAAGTTGTAAGCTTCCAAATAAACCATATATCATATACCATTTGCAGATATCTTGCCACTTTTCAGGAAAAGAATGTATCAAAGTATCAAGAATGAATTGCTATTTTGTGCCTAGAAACTTTGTTCTTTACTAAAAAAATATTTTAGTCATTAGTTTTGGGGAAGATTGGCTGCTGTGGCTGCTGTATTTGTTCTGAAGATAATTTACTCACAAGGCTGTCAGTTACCAATAAAAACTTACTACTTTGGCCCTATAAAGATGGAAGAAAATAGTTAATTTCAAGCACAAATATTCCTGCTTATCTCAGAGGAACTACTTGTATAATTGAATTTGATGGCTATCATAAGAAATTACAAAATTGCAATCTTAGAATCATAAGCTGTTTTAGAAACACACTTCTAAAGAAAAGCTTTGCAGCTAATTATTGCTCTTTGCCTGGTTGTATTTTTAGGATGCTTTTGTGAAAATTATTCAAATAGAGGGAATTAAGTCTCTCTGGAGTGGACTTTCCCCGACGCTGTAAGTAATTTCATTTTTAGGCAAATAAGTCATTTTAAAAAATTTGCTACATCTGAAATTAGAGATAATGGTGTCATCAGTTTGATCAGAAACATTTGGAGATGATTTCTTTCCTACCAGAACTTGCTATTTCTTCTTGCAACCTCTTTGGTATGTTCTCACTATTTAAGCAGGGACATCAGAGTTTCCATTTTGCCTTTAGATGATGTATCCTGTGTACTGTAACTTCCCCATCGGTAGCATCATCAAATCACAGGATCTATGCTGATTGTTTGAGAATGTTAGTCTGTGCTATTTGCTAGTCTAGATTGTTACTAATAACCTGGAATATGCAAAACAGTTTCCTTACCTAAGCAAAATATCCATACAAGATGGCTGACTTTATTCTCCTGCTTTCCTTGTACTAATTCAGATTCCCTCTCTTATATTTTAGAATAATGGCCCTTCCTACCACAGTAATCTATTTTACCTGCTATGAAAAACTGAGTGAAGCTCTGAGGTCTAGACTAGGAGAGGATAATGACCACATTCCACTTGTTGCAGGTTCCTTAAGCAGATGTAAGTTGTCTCATGGTTAGAGAGAAAAATGAAATACAACATCTGTATGCTGTTTTCATTTCTTCTGCTTTTCCTCTCCTCTCTCTCTCTCCCCTCATTCTTCTCTCTTTTCAGCAAATTTGTTGTGACTTTAAAAATGGGTAATATTACATGGAGCTGGGCATAGGAAGGAATAATACATTTTCCCACCATTTCTTCAGTAATATAACCCTCTTACTTGGACTGATGCAATTTATTTTGGCTGTCACGTTATCCTGGGCTACATCAAGAGAAGTGTGGCCAGTGGATTGAAGGAGATGATTGTCCACCTCAACTCTGCCCTTGTGGAGTCCCACCTGGAGTACTGTGTCCAGGCCTGAGATCCCCAGCACAAGAAAGATGTTGAGCTGTTGAGTGGGTCCAGAGGCAGCCATGGAGCTGATCAGAAGGTTGGAGCACCTCTCTTATGAAGAAAAGCTGAGGGAGATGAGCTTGTTCAATCTGAAAAAGAAGAAAAGGGTCTGAGGAGACTTCATAATGGCATTTCAGTACTTAAAAGGGGCCAGCAAGAAAGATGGTGGGGGACTCTTTATCAAGGAGTGTAGTGGTATGACAGGGAGTAATGGCTTTAAACTAAAAGAAGGTAGATTTAGGTTAGATATTAGGAAGAAAATCTTCATGTGAGAATGGGGAAGCACTGGAACAAGTTGTCTAGAGAGGCTGTGGATGCCCCATCCCTGGAAGCATTCAAAGCCAAGTTGGATGGGATCCTGGGCAGCCTGATATAGTGAAAGCTGTCCACGTTCATGGCCGGGGAGGTGAAACTAATGTCCTTAAGGTCCCTTCCAACCCAAGACATTCTATGGTTCTTTTCATCAAATATATAAGGCAATGTGAGACTTCTAATGTTCAGGAAATGTTATTTGTAAATCTTGATTTTTTTAAAAACCACACATTTTTCTCGTTTTCAGTTGGTTCAGTTACTGTAGTGAGTCCTTTGGAGCTGATCAGAACTAGAATGCAGTATCACACGTTGTCCTACAAGCAACTGCACTTGAGCATCAGGAGTAAAGTGGCCAGAGATGGGTGGCTTTCCTTGTGGAGAGGCTGGAGCACTACTGTTCTGAGAGATGTACCTTTCTCAGGTGGGGTTTATTTCAGATGAAAGTCTACCTTATGTAAGATATGTTTTTTCATGATTCTTTTGCATATTTTTTGTATTTTTATGTTATTACACAAAAATGATTAGCTTTAAGAATAGATTTACATGTTCTCTTTTGAGTGTTTGTGATTTTGTTTATGGATGGCAGATTGTGTTCAGTGTTACTTTTCCCTTTCCCTATGTTTAGACTGCTTCATCTTACATAATGTCTGTTTTTTAAGGCTTTTGTAGGAAATGTTCTCTACGATAGGTATACTGGCTATTTCCTTATAGAGGGACATTCTGTATATGTGTTCTGATGTTTGATCTTGAAAAAATGTACAAAGACAGGTGACACAGTAGTTAGTGTCTTCAGGCATTTTTGCTAGCAAGATGAATTAACTGTTCCAGAAAAGATGAAACTAGAGCACCACTTGGCAGTGCAGCTTCAAAGCTGAAAGTCTACAAGAAAAGTCTGACCAGTGCTATACTTTAAGATAACTGGGACAAAGAAGATCATTTGTTCTCTCATTTTGTTAAAGCTCTGCTGTCTCCTGAGCTATGGAAATAATTGGACAAGAGTGCTGAAGGACAGTGTTCCAACTTACTAATGCCAGTGATTAATACCCATGTCTCTTCGAGGCCCTTTATTGTCAGAGCACTTGGGAATAATCAGGCAGCAGTTGTTCTCAAAGCTGTCTGTCCTTTGGATGGTATTGGGAATTACACCTTTAAACACCTTGTGTTGGCCCAGAGAAATGCTTCAAACCCATTTTCAGATATTTAGCTTAGAGCTGCATTTAATTCTGTTGATTCACATAACTGCTATTTCAGGTGTTTTATTTTCAGTATGAATAATACTCTTTTGCTTTGCTACTGGTAGATGCTTAAAGAAAATACTTATGCTGCACTTCCTTCTTAAGGATATGCTGTTCCTTGATGAGACTTAATTTCACTTTACATGCTAGGGAAGGCTTCTGAAGTATGTGAACAATCACTTTCTTTAAGGCTAAAAGAACAGTATTCAAAATCATCTTTTGCTTAAAGGGCTTCCTGTCCAATGTTTATTTGCAGTTCACTCATTTTCTCCGTCTGCCAAATGCATTGTTCTCTTAGAGCTTCAAAAGGGATTCTAAAATTCTTCTTCTCATTCTTATGGTCTGATTACAAGTAGAAACTCTTGCTCTACTACTGAGTCTGTACTACACTATGTCTGTAGTGACATAGCAGGAGCCAGTTGTCTTTCCCTCTGCTGCTTTTAACAGAGTGGAAAGATCAGTTTGGTGTGAGAGTGCACAAAGGGGAGGGAACCAAGGTGATGAGTGTGCTCTCTACTCTTTTCACATTCTGGTATCCAAGCCTCAAAGCTGATGATATAAATGGTGGGTATTTAATCTTGATTAACGTTTCAGAATGTGTTTTCTGAATATTTTTCCTTATAAATACTCTCTCTGCAGTTAAGATGTGTTCCTTTATTACCTTCTCTTTGAATGATACACCAACAGCATCGTAGGTTCTGGTATTTTTACAGCAATCCCCACCTTCGCTGCAGTTCGCCTTCTGTAGAGGAATTCAAGTCAGTGCAACAGTTTGTATTAAGAAAGCAGCTGCTCTGTGAGAACTCTCAAGTAGCACAGAATGACAATGTTAGCAGCACAGCATAGAGTCCCACTGTGTTAACCCAAGTGTGAATGATATGCTTCCACAATGTTCCTTGGACAGCAAGCTGACTTGCATAAAACTCAAGGTGTGAGTGCCTGATAGAAGCACAAGAACTGGATTAACAAAAGCAGTTGAGTTATCAAGCAATGTTGCAGAGAACATATGAAATGTATGGAGGGAAGGGAGTCTTGCACATGCTCTAAGTTTGGATTTAGATAATCTATACTTAATTAGGGTTACATATATTTCAATAGTAAGTTTTCCCAATCTTTGAGGTGCAGCCTAATTTACTTTTGCAAAATACTGGAAGCTTGGTTTCCACAGCAAGAAAATACTTTGATATTTCTCCACTGCCACAAGATGTGGAACTCAGTGCTGAATGAGTCACAGCTGTGTTCTAGGGTGCACACCTCTCATTTGCAGTATGTATTCGACCAACTGCACGGGGAAGCACTCCATAACTCAGCTCAGTAACTTCTGCATTCTAACTAAAACTCATCAAAGTAGAAAGAGTGCAGTTTATTGCAGCAGAAGTGAACAAAAACAGATGTTACTTCTGAAAGTTTTTCCTCAGAAAGCCTCTGTGAGGACTGTGGAAGGCAAGTCTCTCCTTAGTAATTCAAGAGAGCAAAGCCATATTTCTTGGTTGTGTCAGAATTAAATGTTATATATGCTATGGTCCAAAAGAATATGAGACAGCCTTGAGGAACTTCTCATCTTCTATGATACACGTTTTTGTGGAGTTACCAAGATTTATGAAATATATGAAATATCCCTGAAAACATGAAAAATAATTAGAAACTTACATTTTGATTTATAGAATATCACATTAAAATAATCTGTTCTATGCGTTTTGTAATGCTTATGTTAGATTGTCTTAAGATAGGAGATACTTCATGGGAATGACAAAATGATTTGGCTAATTTGTATCATATGAAATCTGGAATACATGTATGGAGATAAGGTGAACTGGATGGGCTGTCAGAGTAAGAGAACACTTCTGGTTTCCTTTCAAGTTTGGTTTCTCTTGGATCCTGTTACTGCTGTAGAATTCTTACATCTGTCATTAATACAAAAGTTGAACTGAAATACAAATCTGTTGTAGTACAAGGTTTGTTTCTTTTGGTTTTGCTTTTTATGACCATAGCAGTGTACTGGTATAATTATGAACGTTTCAAGAAGATGATGTGCAAGAGTGCTGGTGCACGTGAACCAACCTTTTTTATTGCTTTTACTGCAGGAGCAGCATCGGGCTCTGTAAGTATACATTTTTGTTTCTACTACTACTCTTTATTATGGTCCCTAATCAACTATTTATCTACTTATAAGTGAAGTGGCTTTACATGATTCTCTCAAAAATGATCATAGAATCATAGAATCACAAGGTTGGAAAGGACCTACAAGATCATTGAGTCCAACTGTCCTCCCATCACTCCTGCTACCACAAGCACTAAACCATGTCTTGTAGCTCCTCATCCAGACGCCTCTTGAACACTGGCAGGGACGGCAACTCCACCACCTCCCTGGGCAGCCATTCCAGTGCCTGGCCACTCCCTGAGAGAAAAAGTTTTTCCTTATGTCTAATCTAAATCTCCTCTGGCACAACTCATGGCCATTTCCTTGGGTCCTGTTTGTTGTTTGTGAAAAGAGGAGCATCTACCTCAGTCACGCATGGTTTGGTATTCAAGCTGATTAGTTGTGTCTGAACAGTTTAAAGTGTTCTGAAGCACAAGACTTCAATAATATCACGTGCTTGGAATAACTAAACTAATTTTAAATTGTGTGCAGCTTAACGTAAAAGAAAATTACTTTTTACTTGTTGGTAATCTAACATTAGAACTGTGGCTTGATTTTTCCTAATAGATCGCAGCTGTCGTAACTCTGCCATTTGACGTAGTGAAAACACATAGGCAGACTGAACTTTGGGAGAGTGAGACTTTACAAAGTAAGTTGCAGGTCATGACATTGCTAAACAGCTGTTTTTAACCTGTCTGCTAACCACGTTTGCTGTTGAAACTCAGAATTCTCTTTAGATTGGATTGCTCAGCAATTCCTGTAGAATTGTTTAATAATAATCCATGTGTTTAATATGTGCAATGAAGCTGGTTCTTCTAGCCATAATTAAAAAGACAAAAACCAAAAGACATAACACTTGGGTATATGGATTTTCGGTAGGCACCTTAAACATTCATCTCTTCAGTTTCCCTAAGAGTGATATCACTAAGCATTTTTGTCTTTTCCACATTGAAACACTTCGTACAATTATATTTATCTCCTAGGATAAAAACAGTATCTCATAAATGACACAGAGGGAAAAGGAGTACAACTCATAATAATGTGTGATATAAATTACAAACAGAAAATCCAAATTACAGTAAGGCAGACTGACTGCCAACCTACAGACATTCCCTATGTGAATGGAGAAATATTTCAGCTCTTATAAAACACCCATGTGTTTTATAATGTCTACTGAAAAAGTCTTTTCAGTTGATGAAAATAACGTGAAAAAATGTTTGCACATTCACTACCAGTTGATACTAGAAAATAAAAGCAGCAATGTAACTCTTAACACATCTTATTTAATAACAATACTGTTTTTTTGCTAGAGTTTAGGCTACAGAAAAAGTGTTTTGCTCAGGTTATGTATTTTTAACCATTTTGTGTGTGTGTGATTTCAAAGAAATTATTTTTGAGGACATGTCAGTAATTACTCCATCAATTTTAAAGGACAAAGGGATTTCTTCTTTTTGTTCTCTGTTCAGTACAGTTACGTTCAGAACCACTACGTTTTTCGAGCAATTCAAGTTGTATGTAAAAATATAGCTTTCCATTACCTGGGACCTGAATCAGTGAGGGACTTCTATTAACCTGAACACAAGTTAGATCACGGCTTTAAGATTAAATAAGAGTAGAAAGACAGAGTAACCAAACATGAGGTTCTGTTTAGAAATTCATTTAAAGGCACTCGTTCAGAAAGATATGAAAATACACTGATTGCATTTTGGCATAAGGTTTCATTCTCTTAGGTAAAATATCTTTTTTTCTGGTGTAATTTTTGAAAGACATTTATGTTTCTTTTGCAGAACTGCTTAAGATTTGTAAAGTCAAACATAAATTGTTACTGTCTTTCAATTCTTCCCATCATACATACTGATGAATGTGAGAATTCATTGCTAACAGCTCTTTGAATCACAGCTAGCTGCCTAATATTTATTTGGCTGATACGAATTAGATATGTTTTACATTTCAGTATGGTTATCTTTAACTGGTACTGGTTGCACTCATTCTTATGACTCATTATATCAGTTCTTAAAACTTACCTTTAGATCCAGCTTACCATAAAACACAAGTTCACTTTTGAAAATGATCTTTTAGCTGCAAGTATAAAGTGACCTGTAGTGAAATAAGCTCATCTGAAAGCTATGTAATATTTTCAGTTATGTCAGTTACTCCAGTAGTAAATATTGTCTCTGTTTGTAGAATTTACTCTAAGCATTACTGTGATCTTTTTCTATGTCATGCTATTTTAACTTCAATATTAATTTACATACTGTGTGAATTTAACATTCTATATAAATAACTTCATATATACATACATAAATTATAAGTTAAGATAAATTGAAGTTTATCATTGCATCCAAAGCAACATTTGATTTTTAAAAATCTTTTTTTTTTTTTTCTGTACATTGTCTGTACTGTTTAATTCACTGTTCTGTTGTACTACATTGAGATCCACAGAGGGACTGTGCATCTACCTGGGCAGTTATGAGGAAAATTGTTGCTAAAAAAGGGATTGCTGGATTATTTGCTGGTAAATCTTTTGACATCTTTCTAAAAAATCACACTAAAGTTTTTTGATTATTAACAAGGCATTGTTAGATATTAGCATGCATAAATTATGTATTTCCATCTTTGTGAACACTGTCAGTTATGGAACAGATTGTAAAGTAACAGACATGCACACATGCAAAGAGAATCGTGTCCCTGTCGTCTTGAATGTCTCGTCCCAGCTGAGGCCACCAGCCTCTGCTCCTCCTATGCTAGCAGCTCTGCACTGATACTGCAGGGAGGGCCCAGCCTGCTCCCATAGCCACCTCGGCTGGCCTGCAGTATAACAGCCTGCAGGTCAGGCTGCTCCACCTCTGTGGGGGGACGAAGCAGGAAGAAATAGGAGGTGCTTCAGTCAGGCAGGCTGCACAGATGACAGAGGTGAGGGCATAATGTCCTTACAGCGGTAATGTCTCTCATCAGTAACACTGGTATTTTGAGAAACGTGGGCACAAAGAACATCTCAATCCTATAGTGTTATATTCTGGAATCAATATAATATGACTATTTAATGGCATTAGCGTGGTTCCATCTGAAAACAGATGAGAATGAATACTTTCCTTTCTTTTCTGGGCAGGTATTACTCCACGGCTGTTTAAAGTTGCTCCTTCTTGCGCCGTAATGATCAGCACATATGAATATGGGAAGGCTTTCTTCAAACATTTAAATGAAGAGACAAACCAGCATCCTTAAGTCTCCTTCATCCAATTGCATGAAGTCAAAATACATGGAGAAACTTCATTTTTTCACTGTTTCACAAAGCATAAATTGGATTTTTTTTTCTCCCTTAAGAAAAATACATGGCCTTGAAATTGTTACTGAAAATTTTGTGAGTTCTCTCTTGCTGCTACAGAGAGAAGAAAAAAGAAAAGAGGCACTTGGACTGTTCCTCAATGATGATTAAAAAGGAAAAAAATAAGCCTGGCCAGAATGATGAAGAATAACAACTGCCAGTCTTAATCTTCAGTCTGACTAAATATTTTGTTGGATGTTTAAAATAATGTTTAGACAATACTGTAGGTAGACCAAGGAAGGGACATCTCCATAAGGAGGCTGATAGAGAGTAAATTCAATAAGGATGTTTAAGCTTGCTTAATACCTTTTCAATTGTGTGAATGTTTATTTGCAGCTCCATAATTTGTGCAAATGGATACTTTTGATTTTCAGGTTTATTTATAACAAGAAGTGTTTCAGGTCAAGCTGGAAAAAACACATAGCGGCTATTAGAATCCCAGAGAACATCGTGAATACATTGCCAGGTGCTGCAGTGGCTTTTTAGTTCAAGACAATATTCCTAGTGCACGCTTTTACTGGGAAACACAACATTCCAGAACATTCACACATTTGTGACTCCCCATAACACCTTGAAGGTCCCAGAAAAGCTTCAAGACAGAGCCAGGCTCCCTTCCAGGGAGCATTCCCCATGCATAGTTTGCATAGACAGCAGTCTTATTCTATCTGAAGAAGGTATCCCAGTGTGTGTGTCGCCTTGGTAAAAATTCAGCACACACTGAAAATGCCTTAGTTGTGGGGAAAGACATTAGGCAAGAAGTTTACAGCATATGGTGCAGGCAAGACCTCTTGCCATGGTAGACATTTGACACTGTTCCCCCCATTGTGATTATAGAAGTAAGTTTACACCTTATTTTAAGCTTCTATAGTCAAAAGAGCCAAGAGAGCCAAAAGACAAAAAGCCATAACAGCAGATTTTGGGCTACATATGGAATACAGCAACAACAACATCTCTCTGTTGTCTGAGAAGAGAATTTGCTGCAAATCCACTAATACTGTAACTTGCTGAATGCTCTTATTTTACCTTGTTTGATTAAAACAGAGACAAAAACTAGTAATGAGTGATGATACAAAATGTTTAATTTACATGCAACATTCATGGAACGTCAAGGCAACAAAACGTACAGTTTGGGCATTTTTTCAGTGTGGGTTTTTTTTTCTGAAAAATGATTAATGTTTAAAACTGAGAAAGACACACAACTGATTTCCCATGCACAAAATGACACCCAGAAACTCACAGCGGTGTCAGACTACATAAAAGACTTCAGTTAAATGACACATGAATTTCACACCAGTAGCTCCAAGAAAAGAGCCATCAGCTAACATGACTGAAGATCATGATCATAGTCCCCTCCAAAACACTGATGAAGTGGGAGAAGCATTTAACAGCAAACAAGACTGATTAAATCACTACACCTCAATGGAGGATGTTAACTTGTGGAATCTGGATTCCCTTGTATTGTATTCACAGTAGACATGCACTCTCTAACTTATAAATCAGTATTTAATAATGTTACTCAACTACCATGAGAGAACAAGTACTTAATTGTTACAACCAAAAACAGTTACAAGAAGGAATGGACATTCTGACAGTGTGTGAAAGGATGTGATATTCTGAGTTTGTAATAGAGAAATTAATTGAATGGTTTCATGAGGGATCAAAAAATAAGGCCTGTAGGATTTTGCTAAACTGCTGTAAAATTTTCTGTAGGAATGGCCTCCACCTTTGTTTACTCCATGGATACAGTAACCTCCAGCACCATGGGCTAGAACTCAGGAGATGCATCTTGAACTACATGCAGCAAAATCCAGCAGTGCCTCAAGTTACAGAGACTGAGCCTCACACTTAGAGAGGCTGAATACTGTCAGTGGTTTTAGTCAAGGTGAGAGTGAATTCCTTTTTCTTTCAAGCCCACCCTACAAGAAGATTATTGTGGTAGTGCCAAGGTACATTACAAGAGGCAAACCAACTAAAACCATACAGTGTAGTGACATACTGTAAACATCTGAGAGTAAGCAATTGAAAATCTGTCTTGTATTGCAACTATCATGTAAACAATTTATGAAACTTCTTTGGCACAAAAAAAGCATTTTCCCTAGCACTTATAAATACAACATACTTACATGCACTTAAGATTTGTTTAAAAAGTTACTAATCATATTGAGAAGCATTACCTTGATTAGCAAAATTCTTAGATAAAGGATCCATTATATCTTACAAAGAATTAAGAATATAGTTTGCAATTTGAAAATTAGTTTGCAAACTTTGAAACTGTAGACTAATCTGGAAAGTTAGTTTCATTTAAAAAATGTTACAGGCTGTTTGTATCAGTAATTTAAATCAATGGCAAATAATTTAAGAAAACTGACCTAAATTAGTTCTACTGTATTACCTAATCAAGGAAAATATCTACTGCACTACTACAGAAATGAGAACAACCTTTAGCATGAGAATACTGCCATTACATTGCCTTTGTTTCCCCTTTTTCACTCTCCTTGGCTGAATGTTTTCAGTGGTTTTTGTAAAGGTGAGAGTGAATTCTCTTTCTTTCAAGCCCACCTTACAATGACCAGACTGTTGTAGTAGTCCCAAGGTACCATTACAAGAGGCAAATCAACTGTAACTGTAATCCTGCCAATAAATATATGACCCAAACTTCGCAAGGAGATAACCCCATCTTCCTTAGTCCCTCTTTTTCCAGTAAGACCAATAAGCCAAGAAATTGCTCATATAATATTAAATTATCTGTAAGCCAGGTCACTCAAAAGCTTGAAATTTGGCAAGCTTCCTCAATATTTACAAATTGCTAAGTATGCTTGACTTAGATGATCAACTTACATTTGTTACTGTCATGCAATTTTAAGAATTACTAGGAGTGCTTCGGTGTGATTCTTCAGTGTGATTCAGCCATCTCATTAGTGCCATGATGCTAATAGGAATGCAAAATCTAACACTGAATCAACTTGAGAAGAGCTCTTGACAGGTTAAATACGCTGCGGTCCTATGCAACACACACAGATGAAAATATTGGTAAGTAAAATATTTATTTGCCTACAAATACTGGCTTTAAGTTTTCCTGTCTCTTTTGCAAGAGTTGATATTTAGAGCACTGAAGAGAAGCACCACGGCTGTAGTAGAGCCAGGCTGTTAACCACTGCAAGGAGAAACAAAGTTGTGGCAGTTAAGTAGGAGACTGATTTCCAACTGCTTGATTTTAAAAATCAGTCAGAAGCATCAGAATGTGTGTCCTGTACCTGACTAAGAGTTAAATAATTCAGGACTAAAGCAGAAAATTTGAAAAAGCCCACGGGGGGAAGAAAAGCTGGAATGAAAATCTGGAGAATTAAACAGGTAACCACAAGAAGAAAAAAATAAAGCAGCTTATTTTTGCCTTTGAACTAGCAGTCTTCACTGGAAGTCATATTGTGGAACACAAACCAAATGCATACAACACAAAGTTCTTCCTGCTTGCGCGCATCTCAAGATGGTGTTAAGCCTGGACTTGTCATCTCTGTTGTGGGACTTGCAAGATATTCACTTGATTTCAGACTTGTGAGAGATTTGTAGCTTGCCACTGAAGTAAGAGAACCACAAAGACCAAGCAGTGACGGAGTATCCTCCTTTCCTGTTAAGAAAAACAAGAGTTAAGCTAATCAGCACAGCACAAGATGATCTGAACACAAAAAAAATGAAGGAATAAAAGAACATGTTTCATTTAAGTTAGTGTGAATTATATGTTACTGCTTCAGCACATACATACCTCACAAATGCATTTACAAAGACATCATTAATTCCAACCTTCCCCACTCATGTGGAATAGAGATTCCTATGTCTGCATCACTGACTGGGCTGTAGTCAGCCTCCCACAGAGAGAGGCTCAGGGGCTCCACTGACTGCATGGCGAACAGAAGACACTAATTCAAACACTGGCTTTAGTTGAGTACACTGTAAATGGAAATGATTTTACTAATGCATCATCAATACCCCAGTGCTAATTCTGAATCCCTGGAAAGGATTAGAACTAACTGGAATCAGAATGCATTGCTTTGAAAGTAAACATGCTTGGTTTTATTTATTTATTTAAACTCTTGGTAACTTGAGGCATGTTATTTTGTGCCAACTCAGCTAATAAATTACATTATAAAGAAATTGATTACCAAATATATCATCTTTCTGGATCACCTGCAGAATAAAATAGATCACTATAAACTAAGTTTAAAAGCAGCTTAAAAGGGTCAGAGGCGTAAGACTTCATCTGGCCAATCTTTTTAAATCACATCTAAAAAGCAGCACTTGCTAAAACTGTGCAACTTTTTCCTGACAGAAATGCAGAAATGCTTTATTTTTTGTGAAGAAGGATGGAAGAAAAATAACAAAGAATACCTTGCCTCAAGCAATTATGGAAAACAAACAGACATGGTTCTCTTGCATCACATACAGTTCTCACTAGCAGTTTCCAACAGATTTTAGATCTCTATTCTACTGAGCTTTTCTCAAGTGACCAAATAGCCTTCCTCAAGAATGAACTAGATACTTCCCTTAGGAAGTCTTCATTTTTAGAAAAATCTCCATTAAAATTACATTTTAAGAACTCTAATTAATTTGAGGACATAAACCAAGAACAGCCTCACACTTTCTGGGTATGGTTCTTTAACTCATTGTGTGAAAATAAAACCTGACTACACAATTTATTCAACAATAACGTGAAAGATTGCCACTCTGAGATGTATGCAGGGGGCACGCGATCCTGCTGGTAAAATATCATGTCTTATAGAACCATATTAAAGCTTTGGTACTGATGGATCTCACTCATTTAGAAGTAGGTCGTCATGCCACATGTCAGACAGAATCCTGAAATCAAAACTTAAGATAATACTTGTGTTTTTGCTGCATCTTGATGGAAAAGATAGTACAAACTTCAAAAGATTAACACTGAAAACAAAACAAAAAAACAAAAACCCCACACTCAGCTGTTGAAAGTAAATCAACAGAAGAACACTTCATAACTCTTCATGCTATTTCCATTTCTCTACACTAGCTTGAAACATTTAGATTTTAATACTGTTCACTGTTTTTAAAAAGCTCTGAAGTTTACATTCGTAGTATTTTTAAAGTAAAGAATTTTGAAATTATGAACGAGTAAATGTCTGCTTGAATTTGGTATCTTGTGAGATACAGGAAATTGCTTATAGCAATTTCACTTCTGTGTCCCAAATACTGCTGTTTCACAACTTCTCCAAGCATTTCTCTGCTTTTCACAATTGCCCACTAGATGGAGCAGGTAAACTTTGTATGCACACAGATTTCGAAGGGGACAGTGTATTGCATTTCTATATTAGCATTGCTCACAGCATGTTCCTTTAAGTTTTCTTTCTTGAAAGAGGAGCAGAATGGGATCACCACTGGGATAATCCAGAAAAGGAAAAAGGGAATTGAAATATTTCATTTAGTTATAGGAGGAAGATGTCTCAGATTCTGTGATGGAGACGGAACACATTTGAAGCCTGGCCTTCAATACAGTGCAAAGTCCTACAATTATTTGGAGTCAAGGAACAGACTTGATAAATGCAAACTTATTTGGCAGTTAACAATGGCCCTTAGAGAAACTGAAAAGAAATTGCATAACAATGGAGAAAATATGCAGTATAATGTCTCAGACTGAAGATGCATCTCGTACCTTCATTTAACAAGTTTATTCCATCCTGCTTTCCATCCTGTGAGTGGCCTGGATCCAGAGAGGTTTGAGAAAGGCTGACGTCTGCTGAAAGTTGATCCAAACTTTGAAAACTTTTCCTGTAAAAATAAATAATAATTTTTAATATCAACACACCTAATGATCTCAATAGAAATATTTCTTTAGAAGTTTTTTTTAATAAATAACAAAAAAAAAATCATTCTTTTCTTAATAACTATTCTGTGTTTTCTAAAACACTTATTTTCTGAAGCAAGGGTTTTTTTGTTTTTTTTTAATTAGTTCAAAGGAAGGAAATTTTTATGGTGAGAGACATGATTTTTATGCCAGCTGATCCTTGTGCATCGTAACTTGCTACTCCTATAGGATATGCTTAAGAGTATGCTAAGGGAAACAGATAAATTTAAGTTTCTCTGTTCCTTTGAAGGTAAGTCAAATATTCAGCTTACTCATCCCACTGTTGATTGTGCTTTCTGTAGAGTAGAGTGTCCAAGGCAACAGCATTGACATCCAGAGCTCCTGGGGAAGGCCACTGATTGGTGAGGTGAGTAGTTAATTCTTGTCTTGATCTCAAGTCATTATTCTTCAGCACAGTCCTGCAAACATAGAAAACAGTAAATCTCCACATACCTACTAAATGCCCAAGTCAATGTTCTACTTAAAAAAAAAAAAAAAAAAAGACTGCAGTTTTCAGAAGCAACTTAGTAACAGAAAAAGATTAAATAATATTCTTTCTGCAAATGTATTAAAAAAAAACAGTAGCATTTTTAAAATGCTTTCTGCCAGGAAGATGGTAATTAACAGACCAACTATTTTCCCCTCACGGCAGGATGCCTGGAACTACATGATCTGTAGGGTCCCCCCATCCCTAGCCATTCTATGACTATTTTGCAGACCAATGATCAGAACTTCATGTCCTTTACCCCAGTTTTCACCTTCTCCCCACTCCCAAATAAATATTTCTGCAGAATGAACACCAGACATGTTGACTTCATTACAAGCTTCCAAGTAAAATACAACATGCAGTTATTCTGCTTTGTACCACCTTACAGCTTTTAGTGAACTTTGTTTCTAAATTACTGAAAAGGCGTTAACAGAAGTACCTTACAATTCAAATTAGTCTGGCCTCTTATTCTCATGAAGCAGATCAGTTTCCTGAAGTTTTGGAAATGAGGAAGCTAGTACACTAACATCAGAAATCACCTGCTAAAAATCATACAGAAATAAGGAAAGTACACAGTTCTTCAGGCTTCAAGACAATGCCAGCCTTTTTCCAGTAGCATAAGGCAACCTCCAAGCTATGCTTGTATAGTAACGTAACTTCAGAAACAAAAGTAATATTGCTTATTTACCCATAAATCACCAAACTGTGAAATTACCAGGCAACAGTACAATGCTGCTTAACAACCTTTGAGTATCCATGGCCCAAAGTACACAACCCATATTACAGTATCTCCATACTGAATGCACTCAGTTGAAAGCCAAATATAATGCTGTATCTGAAATACCAAGCTGCACAGCAAGTTGAAGATCTGTTGCTGATACGTGTACAGTTAATGGATTAATGAGTATTGCTATCAGTATATTTATTTTTACAATGGAGTTTTTATTTTTGTGGTATTTGAACTGTTTATAGACATGAACCTCATTTAGTAAGGAGACATAATCCTACCCAAAGAGCAAAAAACAAGGTAAAACAGTAAGTTCACCAAGCAATCTTTAGTAACTGAATTTGAAAAAGGAGGCAGATAGACAGCAATTTTGCAAGAGAAGTTGTTCAAGGAACAGAGCAAAGAACAACACTATATTCAGGAAATTTTTCTCAAGATGATGAATTCCCTCAGCTTTCACTCAAGTAAACAATAAATTTTCCTCCCTGGGACATCCCTCACATTCTGCTGTCTAAAGCGTATATAGAAGAACCACTTCCAGGGCCTGCAGCTCTCCAAACTTTCAAATATCCTGTGTGCTACTCAAATCCCACAGGGTACCTGGAGCTACATGGGACTGTTAAAGGTTTGAGGAAAGCAAACCAAGTGATGATGAGGTTTGCTAGCTGATCTCTGTACCTCCTCACCCAGAAGGACTTGCATGCTTTTCAGTCGAAGACACCCTGTTTATATTAACAACTACACACACAGTAACTAACAAAACTCATACACATGCAACATGTACTTGTGAATTCCCATCTGGGCAACTCCTGTATGTTACTACCACACAACTCAGCAGCAGCACTAAGTTCTGAATAAATAAATGTGCTGAGAAAGGAGAACAAAACACACGTGCAGGCAAGTTGGTAATGGTGGGGCTTCTGTATTTTACATGGGCTTGTCCCACAAACCTTCATGCTACAGTAATTTCATCCTTTCTGCATGGCAGGGAAACAGGCAGCAAGTTGGACACAGAACTCTCTCTTCTCTTGTTATATTATTTTACATGTAAAAATAATTTTGAATATACAAAATCAGCCTCACCACAGTATGTACATTTTACAAAAAAGCAATACAGGCAATAAGTAGTAAGAGAAAGTATTCATAGCAGGTGCCAGTAGAGCCCATCCATTCTTTCAGCCTTGTGTTTTCTCACAGTTGTTTTTAAAGCACGGTAAGATTTAGCTGCAGCAAAGCCTTGTTAATAGCACAGCCTGCAAACAGTTTTTCTCCAAAGATAAAGAAAAGCACCTAAAATTTACACATATTAACCAGGCTTCTAAGAGTCAAAGCATTAAACTGCACAGCTTACATCATCTTAAAGCTCAGTCATCACAAGATATCACACAGGCTTTCAAAAAGGAGAAGTAATGGACACAAAAGTGTTTACCACACAAGTTAAAAAGGAAGGAAATCCAATCAAGTTTTAGTGGAAACAAGCATGCAAATGCCAAAATGCTCGAAGTGAAAAATGACACAATAGTACTGAGCACTGCCCTACCCTATATACTGGTCAGATGAGCCATTCTGGAAGAGGCCTTAAAAGACAATTTATGCAATGCAGAATGAATGTCTACAGCAGCACTGTTCCTCAAACACAAGCACTGTAACTAGTGCTGATCAGCTCTGGGCTGCAATACTTCGGTGGCTGAAGTATAGCTTTTCTTAATAATCACCATGATGCAATGAAGACTGGGAGCTTTCCTCTGCATGCTGATTCAACAGCTGGGCAGTAAAAAGGATACTGTTACTGAAACTTATATATCTGACGTACAGCAACCTAAGTTTGGTGTATAAAAGACTTCTGAGGAAAAATCAGAATAAAGACTTCATAGGAATATCAGTGAAATTTATGTATTTCACAAAACATTCAAGAATAAAGTGCAGACAGTATTTTCTGTAATTTACACACGCACAAAAAGGAACTCTTTGGACCTTGACAGGGAAATACTTCAAATCTGTGGCAAACAGGCAACAAAAGTTCACAAACACAACGACACAATATCTGATATTCTATTTGAATGCTAGTGAAAGTAGGTATGCAGTAAAAGACATTGAACCGGGACTGTCTATGTACAGCAACTTTTATCCTACCACCTCTGCTGCACAGAATGAACCGCTGGCAAGAAGCACCAGCTGAAAACCAGAGTGGCTTGAATGCCTGTAGACTAAGAAAGCAAGTTTCCAAGCAGAGGTTTTATAAGAAATATTATGTCATAATTCATAAGCATCACTTACATGGAACAAAATCCATAAAATACTGCAAGAATAATAGTGAAGATTGAACTATACAGTTCTGATTTTAAACAAAATTCAATCTTAAACAAAATTCAATAAAATACTCTTCTATTATTAGTGACTTTGTAGCTCTGATGATTTAAGATATGGCTTGGATAAGATATTTAAACAGAAGAGTACAAGTAGGTACATTCAAAAAAAGGCAAGAGAAAAAGAACAAGGAAACAAAAGGGTTTTAAAGACATTAAAAAAGAAGGAAATATAACCAATTTTTAGAGAAAACAAACAAACAAGCGTCTATAAGAAGCTGTTAAGCCCCTTTTCATCAGTCTGGAAATTGAAAAATTGAAAGCCAAAAAGAAGTTATGAACAATGGCTTCTAAATATAATCACCTCAGCCAGGAAGTTGGTCCAGTGCATATTAATAACAGATTGTATGATTCTGTTTGAATGAATGAAAGGCAGCACGGGAGATATGGCTGAACAGAGTATCCTGGATTGACATGGTGAGATCATGGAGTGCAGAAAGTTTTGTGAAGAGTAGGGAGGGAATGTGTGAGAATTTATTGGGAGAGCAAAGGGCTTAAACTAATTTATGGTTCATCAGCTAGTTTGGTCATGAAAAAATTCTTGTCTGTGAATGCTTGTGAACTTATTTTCCTCCATCCACTAATTGGCATCTTCTCTACCTGCAAGCATTTTCATCCCTTCACAATCATATTTGCAAAAAAACAGGAGAAGATCTCCTTGGTTATCTCCAGAAATGAAATGATTATTTTTCTCCTGCTCACAACATCTTTGCTCTAAGCAATCTTCTTCTCAACAAAAATTTTTATAAGACAACTTGATATTGTGTTTACATTTCTGAAAACCATCAAAACAAACAAACAAGAAGGTAGAGAGAGAGTGTTCCCAATTCTTTTGGAATTAACTGATACACTGAAAATCAATAATAATAAAATAGTCAGCGAAACTCTTATAGGTACTTATTAAAGGACAGAGGAAACAGCTCTATGTGCTTTTGACTTTTGACTTATTTAAGGAGTAGGGAAAAGTGATCAGTGAAATCTCCAGATGAACATCTCCTCCAATAGCATTCATGTGTTGTGCCTTAGTAAGGTGCTCTCCAGAATATTTACTCTCTGATTTACTCAACTTTGATTATCCTGATATGTTTATTTCATAACTTACAGTTCTAAAATGATTTACTAAGGATGTGCAGAATATCATTATCTATGGTACACATGCAATAATAAAATGCAGTCAACAAATTACAGTTCATCTACACCCGTGCTCCACAGTATGACACCTGTTCTGCTGTTCTGATAAAATCACATAGAAGCTGAGAAAATGGATCACTCACTATGGTCAGATTTGATTTTGTTGGTGGTGCTTTCTGGGTTTGTTTTTGAAAGAAACATTTAAAATATATTTAATTCATCAGCTAAAGCCACAAACAGTTCTGCCTGCACTAACATTGCTTTTGGCAGCTCCTTCTCCAGAAGATATGAAATGACTCCTCTGACTTAACACATGTAACACCTCTGCAGCTTAAAACAAAACCTGATTTGATTCATTTATTCATAGTAGGAAGAAGAGGACTAAATGCAAAATGGGAATGATACAAAAAGGTTTTTATCTTTGATTTCTTTCTATCCATACCAATATTACCCCTGGTAATTTAAACATAAATAAAATAAGAAATAATCTCAAGGGTAAATCAAGGTCATATAGAAAAGCCTCATTGTGGTCACCAACTAAAATTCTTGACTCATTTCAGCAAGATTTTCCCTGGATCATCAAATTCAGGTTCACCTAACTGGAAATTTATTAAATAGATTTATTTATTAAATAGAATTTTTTTTGTTTAATAAACAAGCCAGTTCTGTTTCCAGTTATACCTAAGAAAAACCAGTAATTTCTTACCT